TTGCTTTTTATTGGTTGGCAGCCCCGCGCTCAAGGATCACTTCTCCTAATTTATCTGGACATTCCTTCGCGGTTCCAGGTCCGGAGAGTGCGGCAAGGACAGCGGCCCCCGACGTTGTGCTCCAGGTCACATGGGGGCACGACAGAGGCTGTGCAGACAAACGGGATGGTAGGTGGAGGGGGCGGGTGGAGGGCGGCGTAAGTCAACGGCGGACGAGGTTTGTGTTGGCAGACGAGAGGCTCGAGATCAATGTGGACTTCAACAAAGAAAAGACTGTTCACAGCAACAAGTCAACTGTCAACAAATGTTTCTCCACCTGCTGTGAGCAGGTCTCATCTCCCCAACACACACACACACACACACACACACACACACACACACACACGTTTGCATTCCTGAGCTCTGGGCGTCTGTCCAAGTGAATTCATGTGCACCAGCATTCTCTTGTGCGCGCACACACACACACACACACACAACTAATAACCCAAATCTACATCCACCCCTGCCGGCCCATTTGGGGCCCATATGTTAACCATCCGCGCTAATTTGTCCCCATTGAAACACTTTTGCGAAAGGAAAAGACAGTTTAGAAGGGTGTAATTTTAGAAACGGGGCCGTCCCCCGGGGGGGTCAGAGGCAGACCGACCTGACTGGCATGGAGCAGCTCATCTGCGCCTCATTTAGGAGCGCTGGGAGAGTTGTTTCCACTGCAGGAGGCCAGCGGCGCAGCGCGCCGGGTAAACAAGCGTCTGTCACTGGGGAGCGTCGGGAGAGGGAGGGGTGACGTAGCTAAGGTCATTTCTCCACATCCATTCGTACAGACGGGACGTGGCCGAGCACGAACCGCCGTTGACTTTTAACGGGGTGTCAAACACCAAAGTGTAGTGAAGTCGAAGGTTTCAAAGTAAAACAACTTTTTTATTTAAAAAATGTTCTAAAAAAACCTGTGAGGAGTAAACGTGTAGGAAGGAAATATAAGTACAATAAATCAGACTGGACGAGATTCTTTGTTAACAATAATGAGCCAAAAGATGAACACACGTTATTTATTCTAAAGGCTGGTGGGCCAACTTGGACACAGTTTATATTCTCAAAAGTTTACAATTTGTCCGTGTCCTCAATCCATCAGCGTCCTTCAAGCCCACAGAATAATAATACCGGGAAGGAAATGTCAGTAGTCCTTAATGCAGCCTGACTTTGGTTTATGTGCACCACCGTTCCCTTTCTCAAGAAATGAGATACGAGGCAGCGAGGACGGCAAAGGAAAGGAAAAGAGGGAGGCAGGGAAGGAGAAGGAAATCTCATCAAACTATCTCAGCACTGTGCGGCGTCAGCGGCGCGGCAGAGAGGACGAGGGGACAGAAGGAGGCCGTGTTACAGAAGCCAGAGGGGATGAGACCAACAGTTAATGGAACCATTGCCGTCGGGACGCATGGCGGCGAAGGGATTTGAGAGATCTAGCGGGGGGACTTGACGATGAAACGCTGCGTCGTGAGAGTTACGGGGCACCACATCGGATCCTTGCAGGCGACGGGTCGGATCGCATGAGAAGGGGGAGGGGGGAAGGGGGGAGGGAAGGCACTCCTCGTCAGACACGTCCGCACACGCACCGGGGAAGACGAGCCGCGGAGGCTGCAGACAAACTGAGCCAAAGAAGTTAGAGCCCGGGTCTATATTTAACATTCCCAACATGTGCGCTTCGTTTGGGTGAACGTGTGTGCTGCATACCTTCTCTGACAGCTCGAGTCAGCCAGCAAGCGATCCGCCGACCCAGAGGGGGGGGCACTTAAAGATTTCACCACATGACTGATTAGTTCAAGGCCAAAGCCAGTTCATCCTTGACTAGCAAGTTAGCACGCTAACACGCAACGTTAAACGAGTCCAGAACCCATTGGGTGACGTGCTAATGACTACGTCCACTGCTACGTCAGGAAACTTCTGCAGCTCCAAATGTGAGGAGTGTCTTAAAGTCCAGCCTCCATTTGTTCCCTTCTGACCCCCAGTGTCATTTGGGCGAACCGGACCGACGCAGGCGTAGAGAGAAGCGGCCGATAAGCGCAGTCAGCTCACTCTCCCCCGAGCGAGCACAAAGCACACGAATACACTGACAACACCTTCCAACTGGAAACACAACAAGCGACAAACACACTGATGAACAAACACCCGCACGGCCGCGTTATCGCAAATTATAACAACAAATGTTTCATCCTACAGCTGTGATTTTAATGTTTTAGACCTCAACGGCTTTATTGCTAACATGGTTGTGATGGTAAAGGACTTTTGAATTTTGCATTTGGCCAACGGCGGTCGTCCTCAAGCGAGCGCTTCCGTTCTATTTGCAGGTGCAGCAGACAAACATGCACCAATAATATTTGTAGACTCCTCCATTTCCGGAATGTGGCAAATGCGACGTGGGACTTTTGCTTCCCACCTGGCTGGAAGCTTTACTCCCCGGCGAACAGAAAAAACAAGTGGCGTTCTAATCAACCACTGGGACACGGGACGGGGGCAGCCAACAACCCGCCGGGGACACCTCCAGTTTAGTCTCGAGTCCTGAGACTAGACTCGAGACTAGGGGACGTGTTTAAATGAAGCGTTTCTGACTCTTGCTCTATTTTCCTTTTTGGTGGCACATGGACTGGATGTTGTGGGGAGCGCGGCAGTTGGAATAACAGAACAGACACAAGTTATTGAGAAAGATGCGGATGCACCTGTGCAAACAACCCCCCCGCACACGAAACACACAAATGTTTTGACTGCAGGTGTTGTGTCTTGGTGATTGCTCTATTCTTAGAGGTTCTGGCTCAGAGAAACGCTGTTTTGAGAAGTTTATTGTTGCCGGGACAGCAGGCGTGTGACCCTTTCGGATTCCATCGGACTTTCTCCCGACCGGCGGGTGGAGGCTGCCGTCTTCTTCGCTGACCTTTAATGGCGACGGCTACAGCGCTTGTGTTGCCGTGCGTGACGGACTGACACCCACCTGATGATGAAGGGCATGAAAGGGGCGAGTCCCAGAGGCGAGGAGGATCCGTCCATGGGGGAGGGGTAGAGTCGACTGAGCACCAGCAGCAGCAGGAACAGACTGGGGTGCAGCTTCACCTGACCGCTGCCACTAAGCACACGCACACACACACACACACACACAGACAGATGTCAACATGCTACATCGATGATGCGTAAAACAACCTCCACAGTGCCGAGGAGTCTCATGGACCACTGTATCCCCTTTATTGAAGAAAGAAGAAGTCCAGCATTCGGAAGAATACTTCTCAAAAGAATTATCAGCAAAATGAACTAAAAGTGTGAAACAGAGTTTGGATTAAGAAGAGAACTTTCTAAAAAGATAAAAAGGAACACTTAATCCCTTCGGTATTTGCCACAAACCTTCAAATGAATTATCGGTTGGTCTTCACTGGGCAGGAAGGGGATGGAAACGTAACCAACGCTGAATGACAAATGTATAAAAGAGCATGATGCTCGTCTCTGAGATGTAGCGGAGGAGAACATAGTCGAGCAAAGAACTAGAACCTTGACTGTAGAACAAGTTGGGGTTTTTATTTGGAGTCATGTGACCGCTCAGCTGAGCGAAGCTCCTCACTGTGGTTAGTGTGCAGAAAAGGTGTATTTCCCGTAACTATCGCGCATAATCACGTTTCCAAATGAAAAGGGCTGAATGCCTGCAGTCTCCCACGCGCCGGTACAGCCGTCTCCTCTTCCTCACTCCCCCTTCTCCCCTTCATCCAAAACCTCAGAGCTGAGTCACGATGGAAACCGCCCGTCTCTGCCAGCGGTTTCACAGTTTCACTCTGACACACTTGCAGTCAGGAAAGGGGGAAAAAGAAAAGAAAATCTCTTGACTACACAACAAAGAAAGTAGTGACTTGAATGTGAATATCTGGGATCTCATGGGGATTAGTTCCTTCAGATCGGTTTTACTCCTTCTTGTCCAGCTCTTCCACAATGATGAACAAACCAGAGATCAACTCCCCCAAAAGGTTCATGGAGTTTTACGCCTGCTCGAGTACTCCATCTTGGTGTTAATAAAACCACTCAAACTTTAGCGGCGGTAATTTGGCGCCGTGCACCGTGAATATAACATTGTCTAACAGGGGAAAAGCTCTCGGGGCTTCTAATTACTCCGTTCAGCAATAACGTGCACAGAGAACCATCCGCTGCGGCTGCCATACATCTGCAGTTTCGGGAAACGTAATCACAGCTCAATTAGAAACAGGTCCGATGTGTTTAGCGTCAGAGTTTAGTCGAGCACAACGGGCGTGACGTCAGAGAGGGGGGGGCGGAGAGGGGGGCGGAGAGGGGGGTTTTGGGCCTTGTTGGGAGGCAGAAACACTTGATGAAAGAGGGCGTCCGCGTCGTGTAACGACTGAAATCCCATGGCGGGCTCTTCCGCGAACGTCCGGCCCTCTTTCTCGTTTTGGAAAAGCAGCGAAAGGGAAGACGTCCTAAAGTAAACCAGGGCTTCAGTTTGCCGTTTAGTCGGCTGGCGGAAAAAGATAATCAGCAGTTTTGTGGACACTTTTTTTTCATCCTGTTCTTTGGAAGCGAAGGGCGCTGCAGGTCCAAGTCGTGGACACTGACCTGAAGTAGTTTCAGAGATGAACTTGTTTAGCTTTGCTACACCGAGACGATAACAGCAGGAATCTGAAATGTGGGAACAACAAGAGGTGTCCTCAGCTGCGCGCCGCGAGGCCTCAGGAAGGAGTTTGAGAGTCAAAGCAAAGGGAGTAACACCAAAGACGAAACCAAACACATGAGGTACAGCTGATAGCACAGCGGGGAGGAGAAGGTTAGAGGCGGAGGTTCCGTGTGAAACGCACACGTTTAAACAGTGATATTTCATTAAAAAGGTTTCATTCAACACGGTCAGAAGTAAACCGGACCAATCGATCCTGTGAAAGACAATTCCAAAATGTTCCGTCTCTTTGGCGCGACGGGGAATCCGTAGATTAATCGCCTGTCACCTGGTAAAAGGGAAGTGAGACTTCAACCGAAGTACTGAACTAGAAGCAGAGAAGCTTTAACAATGAAAATAGTTTATTCATTAGCGGCTTTGTTTTTTGCTCTCCGATATTGGGAGCTCTTCTGGACAAATAAAAAAATCTGTTCTATGCAAAGATCTTATCGTTTCCCAATTTTCCTTTTTCTTTAAATAACAGTCATTTGAGTTCCCGCGGTGCATCTCAAATGCAACCCAAATCCCCTCTGCAGTTTAAATCAAATATATAATAAAATTAAAAAGGTTACCAACAGATGTTAAAGAACCAAACGAACTGTGACTCCGTAACCGTGGTTCTAGTATGAACCCTCACTTATTCTCTGACGCTCCCCGGCCGGCCCGTTTGGGTGGCGCAATGCGCCGAGATACTGTGGGAGGTCGGACAGCTGAGATCTGGTTCCGTGGGAAAAATCTGAAATTTTTTTTAACAAGGGGTCGAAGGGAGTGAGGGGGATTGCGAAAGAGCCGGTTTCGGAGAGCGTTCAATTAATTGGATCCATATTAAGATAAGGCCGCCCGGGGAGCGGCTGGACGGGCAGCGGAGGAGTTCGGGACCAGCCGACAGAGATGAAGCCAAGAGGGGGAGGATGAAAAAGAAAAAAGAAAAAGTCAACTAAATCTCGACGAGACATCTACTTTGTCTGGTCGTAAAGTCTTATTCTTTGAGCAAACAGTTGAGAAAGTGATACCTTGGGGAGGGAACAGCTCACACAACGCTACTCGACTAGAGAAAGACGCTCATAGTTCATGTTCCCACAATCAAGTTGCACAAACTTTCCCCTCTTCCTCCTGCTGCTTCATCAGCTTAAGAAAACAAACAGAGCCGTATCGTATAAGTAACAGACCTATAACGGGATATGAAAAGCTGTGTGTGTGTGTGTGTGTGTGTGTGCGTGTGGATTAAGAGGAGGACCACCTCACCTTTCCACCGTGGCAGCAGCCTCCTCCAGCTGGTTCAGGAGGAACGGATAGAGAGCTGGAAACCGGGTGAAGAACTCTCGGCCGGTCATCCTGAGCGGCAGAGACGACACAGAGAAGAATTTATTAGTGACCAGTAAGAAAGCTCCTCGGCATCCACTCTCCGGGGCAACGACTCTCAAAGAGCCCTTTTTTTAGGGCACACGAGTACTTTACTTTTTTAATCTTATTCGGGGACTTTGGGGGCTCCATAGTTCATTCTAAATTATTGAAATAGAATTCATTCAAGTGTTTACCACGGTCACCATTTCCGTCAGCATGATAACATTAGCTAATGGGCAGGCCAATGCTAAATGAAAAGTTCTGCCGTTTCCTCCTGAAGTGAAATGTGTGTGTAGTGTCATAGAAACCACATTAACAATCCCGCCACTATTACAAAGAAGCAACTGCTGGGGGAAAATCCCTGTCAACGGAGAGCGGAACCAATCACGTGTAATTCAATGGGCTTACAGCCGTGATTAAATCTCAGATTGTCCTAATAGTAGGAGAGAGAGGGAAGTCAATAATATGATAACCTATATATTTTATAGCTGGCGGTCTCTGGGCCAGTTTTTTTTATTTTTTATTTTTTATTTAACTCTGGTCTAAATTAGGTCCGCCAACCACGCGATCACAAGCCTGGAGAGATCGCAGAAGGCCTCAGTCACCACTGACTCTCTCACACACACACACACACACACACACACACACACACACACACACACACACACACACGGAAAGTGAGCCGTGTGTGTAGGTTTTAAACCTTCCTTTTTTCCACCTGGATGTGACACACTTGCCTCCCGTGACCGGACACACAAAGAGCGACGCGAGCGACTCCGATCAAAACGGGGACGTGTAGCCGATACGTTGATGTGCGTCGTGAGCAAATACTGGAGAGTGAACGCGCTGCTCCTCGCCCTCCTCTGCGCTCTAATTTGACTCTCTCGGCCTGACAAGACTCCGCTCCCTGGAGGTCAAAGGTCAGAGCGCATTAGACGCAGTAAAAAGAGTCAGGGGTCCCAGAGGAGGAGAGTAGGCGGTGTAAGTGAAAAGGCCTGGTCACGTTTGTGGGCTCACAGCTGTGTGTGTGTGTGTGTGTCAGGGCTGCATTACTTTTGATTATGTTTGGCACAAGGTCATTTTACTGAATATATACACAAAAATATCAAATAAAAACAGCTTGGGAAAGTAGGTATGTGCGTTTACAGTGAAATGTGACAAGTTTACCTAGTTGTTTTCTTTATTCTTTCTAGTTGGTTTCTCTGTAATCTGTACAGAAACACATATTTGGCTTTTTTGTAGTTACTAAGATTTAATTACTCAAGATAGACGTGGTCATTTTCTCATCGACCTCTATATAGGACAGCTTTACAAAAAGGGAGAGGCGACGGACTGAAAACACCAGTGAAAACAGACAAGATAAACAGGAGCAGCCTTGGCTCGGTTACGAGTACTCAGGGGCCTTCGGAGCAGCAGCCAATGGAAATAGAGTAAAGGGAACCGGACGGCGTTTCCTGGAACTTTACGCTCCATACAGCTACAGAACATGCACATTATTGTTCCCGTTTTGATGCTCTGAACACTCGATGGATCTCCCAATCGGGGGCCGAGCTACCGATCATTATCATATAAACCTTCCATGAGGTCATGGTGCACGCAGGCACAAGTGAAGCCTACGGCTGAAGTCACTTCAACTTGCATGTTTTCTACTCACCATCTGTAAAAAGAAGATTGTAGTCTGGGAGAAGAGAACTTCTCTCTAGATTTATTCCCTCAGAAAACATGGGCTCATTCTCCAGTTTAAATAATCTTCAATACAGTAAGATGTTTGTATTAGTTTAAACCCGGCGCTGGAGCATGGTTAGCTTAGCATAAAGCATAAAGACAGTCACATCGGGGCTACAGTCAGAGCAGACGGACCCCTCCGTCCAGACTGTGAAGGAGACCCGCGACCCAGAGCCACGGCCCCTCGGCCCACTGAAACCAGTTGAGGAGGACTGGTCTGCATGCTAACAGCTCCGCTGGGATCTACTGTGCAGCAGGGCCATCAGCTGAAGGCGGGCATCCTCTGACATTGAGGGTGGGGGATGAGATGTTGACCGTGTAAGCATTGGAGAAATGGCTAATTATAGCCAAGGTTGTTCAACGTCAGCAGTTCTGCAGGTCTGCGGTCGCGCGCTGGAGTATTTGACTATTTGAAATGTTGATGGTAGTGAAAAACCCACAGCATGTTTGTGCTCTATGATGCTTTGTGCCAAAAACAAAAAGAAAGGTCAGAGCCCGGCGCTCTGAAGACGCCGTTCTTGCGGAGAGATAATTCGATAAATGTTTGTTGTTTCTTCCTTTCTCAAAATGTCATCGCATGCAGAAAGAGCACTTGAACCCGGGTCTGCTATCATTTTTATTACCGGGCTCTCGGGGCACTCGGCGGGTTGTTTGACCTGGCGTTGGGAGAACGTTACAATTTAAGACTCGCTTTCAGAAACCTCAACAACAACCCGTAACTTTTTAGACAACCCTTGACAGCGAAGCAGTCAGTACGATGATGAAGCTTTCCAGCTAAAGCCGAGACAGCTCGACCACCGAGCGGATTCCATCGCCTCGGCGAGCCCACCTCGCTTTGACAGAGCGCGAGGCGCCGACCTCCTTCTCCACCGAAGAGAGAGCCGCTGATCGACAGGACAAGCGGGCAAAAAGGGCGAGGGATCGGTTTACGGGTCTTAATGTCTGTGACTTGGACGATTGGCTGAATGAGCATCGCCATCATGACCTGAATAGAGTGTTAACGTACGCACTTCCCGTCTGAATGCTGTCACGCCAACATTCACATTGTGTGACAAATAACATTCTTTTTTTAGGACGGGCCTGTTGCTTCCTGCACTTCTAAGGATGGTTGTTTACGATGAGCATCGAGAAGATTTCATTGGATTCTGCCATGTGAAAGTGACACTTTTTTCTCCTGCAGCACTGGAGCTGTGCATCTCCACACGTAATGAGTGGAGGGGAACCTGCGTTTTAGCCGGAGGGACGCAACGACAGTGACCCCCGCTGGTGGAAGAAAAAAAAAAAAAACACGGCCGTACACATGATTAAATTACTCATGATTAGTTTCTATCATATCAAATGCGACGACCTATTGGCAGACTGATGGGGAAAAATCTCCAAATGTCAAACATTTTTGATCCCAAATCCTAGTATTCACTCAATGTGGTATTTCTGAGTTTTATTTTTCTATTATTATCTTTTGACAATTGTCGAGTCTAATGTTAAATTTGGCAGAAAACAAATGATATTGACTAACTGAAATCGCTGCCTTATGAGATACCTTATATAACTAAGTCAATATAAGTCAATAAATACATATTTAAAAGAAATATACAGACGGTTTATAATTGGAACAAATGATCATTCAGTGCTGAGCTCCTCAGGTCCTGAGCTTTCAGATGAAGATCTCCTAACGTCCTCATTACAGAACAATATAGGTTAATAACATACAGTAGCTGCTGGATGGTTTATTTTAGAGAAGTTAAATCGCAAAACCATGAGCAGCTTTCTCTCAGTGGGAGACCTTTTTTGCACACGTTCAAGGGGGATTATCTCATTCTACCCTGAAGCCGTTAATACGCGGAGCGGCATTAGAGAGAAGCAGCAGACCTGTTCTTCTTCGAGTGCTCGTCCTTCCCCTTCTTCACCCCGAAGATCCTCGTGATCAGTGTGCTGAAGAGCAGAGTGGAGGAGTTCCTCACCTGGGAAACAAAAAGAGGAGGAAGACAGAGAGCCGTGAGCGAGCGGACGTGTTTTGGTCTTAGTGTTCAAACCCCCACTGGTACAAACACAGTGTGCGTGTGCAGCAGTCAGACAAAAAGATAACAAACAAAAGGTAAAAAAACACAGAAACTCACAGCCCAGACGGGCGAGGTGAAGCCCAGCACGGCAGCCTGCATGCCGTCTGAGACGAAGGGAATGACGTTTTCCCCCAGACGGGTGTCCCGGTACAGAGCCCTGAGGATGTTCAGAGCGTGCACCTGCGGGGACACACAACAGGGGTCACAAAGAGGAATAGAGCATGACCTCCTCCTGCTGAGCCCGCGGTCGAACCTGAGGGACGGTGGAGCTGTCCGTGGTGCCGATGGCCGAGGGCCCGGCCAGAGAGATCAGCTCTCTCATGGTCATTTTCAGCAGGCTGCAACTGGACGACTTGGGCTCGGAGGAGAGCAGAGCCTGCGGAGGTAAAAAAGCAAAAAAACCACAACGGGTTCAATAGAAAGTCACAACCCGTAAACATGTCAGACGTCGTTACAGAGGACTTTCACAGGATTTCACCATTCGAACCAGAGATTTTCACTCTGGTTCCTATTCTTTCCCGTCCAAAACACACAGCACGAGTCACCCGCAAACTTCTTGACAGCTGACAGTTGAGTGTTTTTCTCCTTCATTTACAAACTTGAAGGCTCAACGTCAAAAATGAAGTCATTTTCAATAGCAGTTGAGGTGTTGGTTGCAGATGGTTGTTTTTTTTGTCTGTTCTTGTTGTTTTTCCAACTTTTCAATAACAGCATAAACTTTCTGCAGCAGTTTTGACATTACTGGATTCCATAGTCCAGTTCCTCATTGTGGAGGCCATACATATCCGTCCTTATTGCACAACTGAGCCAGAAAAGGGTTCCATTTCCCAGCAAATACACTAAAAATGGCACTGTTCCTTTAGTCAATATAATGGTGCAATGTTATTTCCCAACCATGTTCACTATTGTGTCCTGAGCCCCCCACGGTAGAGGAGCAGATCCATGTGGTAAAATCACATCTATGTTACGGAAAGGATGACGTTTTAACGGTTTCAATCCAAACAAGAGTCCAGAACCAAAAAATGAATTGGCACAGGAATAGTCTGTCCCTGGTCCATGCGGAGCAACACGAGGGCGGGAGGCAAAGACTCTTTCTGTGTGAAAGAATGCAAGGTGTCTCCTCCTGCTCCTCCACCCTCTCACCCTCCTTCATCTTCTCTTTTCCGCCTCCCTTCATCATCGTCTTAACTCCTGGTCGTCTGTCAGGTTCTTACATACACACATGTATATAGGTACATATGGATTAGCTGTGGCGCACCCATAACCACAAGAAAGAGCAGCCCCCACTCAGACATCACCACGGTGATAAAAACCTGACCGGTCACCTCAACTTTTGATATCAATAATCATTGATGAATGGATTAAGAAACTAAATGTTCTTCCGCGGCGAGTGCTGCGGTGGCGCGCCAGGAGCGGCCGACAGCACTACTTTGAGGAGCCACCAGGAAGCCAAAGTAATCCCACACAGACAAGATGTCCGTGACTAAAGCTCACGGAACAGTAACCTTCCCCATGTCCGCGCACACTGCATATCGCAACCGACGTTTAAACCCTCGACCGTCACATGACCCCATGTTACGCTGGACAAGAAATCTGAATTTTTTGGACAGCTCATGAGCGATAATGTTCCAGCAGTCCAGTGGTTGTACCGTAATTCAATCGTGCAATATCTCCATTAACCTGGCATTTAGAAGAATAATGCACTTTAGAGTTACCATCCGGCAGCGTACTCCTTTAAATCAACATCACAACAGCAGCTCCTTGGGCATCTATCTGACAGCTTATGGGACTGACACCAGAAAGAGGGGAAGGGCCCCACACACCTGGACGTAGAAGGGGATTCCGGCGCTGCGCCGTGTCGCACACAGCTTGGACGACGGGTCACTGGATTTGACCTCCTCCAGGACCTCGGACAGCCAGCGGGCCGGAAGCTGCTGCAGGGCCGGACTTCCACTCCTTCAGTAACACACAGAATCAACAGGAGGGGTTTGGCTCTTTGAGCGAGTAATTGTACACATATGCTCAAGGAAATACAAACGATTACATCCACTGAATCACTATGAAGTCACAAACATTGGTTCAAGTTACATGTCTACTTATTTAATACAACCTTTCACTTGTTTGGAGACATGATTGCAGCTAAAAACGAGTTGTCAGTTGCAATTTGTATCCCATTGAAAACTTGCATACAAAAACAGCCAAAGTGGAGACGCTTCACACGCTGCATCACCTCATACAATAAATAAGCCCCACACATCTGGTTTTGCTGTTAAATACCACAAACTAGTCGTTGCAAAGATCATTAAACATCTGATCCACAGATTCATAAGACTTGATTCCTAATAAGTCACAGACAACGACCCGAGGCCTTAAACAGGAGTCCGTGGCGAGGACGGATAAAAACAGTCCCATGTCGGAGGACAGCGCGAGGCTGCAGCAGCGCTGTGTACTTCATCACACACACAGTGTTGCACCGAGTCCCAGAGAGAGAGAGACGCCATCAAAAGGCCGCGGTGAGGCACCCCGCAATCAACACCCCGTAACCCAGCGTCCGCGTGCCCCCCCTCCCCCCGCAAACACGCGCTCCTGCACGCAACCGCGAGAATGTCGCCCTCGTTGCACAACGCGCCGGGCGACTGGTTTCTGTGCGAGAACAACACAAGAGAGTTTTGGGTTTAACTGCTCGCCGTCGGGCGGTTCAAAGTCAACGGGGTTTGTCACCTGCGAGAGCCGACAGAAGGGTCGTTTCCGTGAATAGCAGAGTGGGCGGCGGGCGGCGTGAAGGCCCGTTGCCCCTGGCAGCAGCTGCGTGCTCTTCAATGTGCCATGAAAGTGATTTGAAATATGAAACTACACCAACGGGTTTTTTCTGCAATATTTGGCGATTTCCTGCTCATAAAACACAACAAATCCCACTTCAATCATTTTAAGGACGGACATAATTAGCTGACGTTATCCACGTTGTAGATACACTTCACATACAGGCCTAGTTCTGCAATTTGCTTCGTTTCCAAGAGTCCGTACGGATTATTAACATCCACCTAGTGACTGTTCAGCGAATGTGACGCTACAGCCAGCAGGCGGTTAGCTTAGCTTAGCACAAAGACAGAACAAGCAAGGCGACTGGCTGTGACCAATAGAAATTAACTACAAGAAACAAGAATACATGCTGAGAAAATGACAGGTTGGGGGGCTGCGGTTTACGGTGTTCGTCTCTACTTGAGCTCAGTGACATGTGTGACACATCTGGCAACCCGCGGCGCCGCTGAAGATACCGCGCAGAGCTGCTGGAGGGCCGGAAGTTTTGACAAGAAATAGGTCGTTAACGGAAAATCCCAAATGAAATTACATTTGTTCCCTGCCTGCAGTCTTTATGCCAAGTATATCTGTACCAAAGTCATGAGATTATAATTCATCTTCACCCGCAGAACTTAAAAAAAAAATGTTTTTAGTCGATTCCATAGAAACATGTGCTGTTTTTTTTGCATTGAGCCGACACGTTCACTCTCGTTTCTCAGCGCGTCGGTCCGTCCTTGTGCGTCTCTATTGTCTTGTGGTTGTCCAGACGGCTTCAGATGACAAATAACACCAAATCACTCGGTCTTGACGTAATTAATTATATAATAACGTGGCTGTTTGCTAATTACAAGGCAGTGGGACACTGTGTGTCACAGGGGGGAACGAGGGGAACATTCAGCAGTATTACCTTTCAGGCCTTTGCCCCCGAACACCACAGACACACACGCGCAGAGACAAATACACACCTGCAGAGCATGTCGGTCAGGCGTACAAAGCCCACATAAGCCAGTTCAAAGGCGCCTCGGTGACGGGACTGCAGGAGCTGCTGACGGAAGTAAAGGCCGACCCCCTCCACCTGGAACAGAGAGACGGGGGAGGAATCAGCAAATTAACTGAAACAAGAGTAATACTGCGGTCAAGGAGCCTGAACGTGTGTGTGTGTGTGTGTGTGTGTGGTATGTATGACTTTAAATCCTCCTGCAGGAATACATGTAAACAGTGCACAGCAGTTCAATGCAGTCAAAACAAAATGGTTATGTTACACGCGAGGTTCCACACAGGCGACAACAACCTCCAGTCGACGTGTTCATGAAACCATGTTTATTGGTAGTAAGTAGAAGTACGGCAGCTGTTTATTTATTGGCAGGTACGTTTGCAAACACAATTCGCTCTTTCCTTTTCGGCGCATTTCCACCAAGAAGACCCGTTCGGTACACATTACAAATGGTTATTTTAGCATTTCCTTGGAAAAAGTTGTGGACTTTAGAAAGCGAGCCACTCAAGTCTTGGCTTCGCCTCCGTCAACATTCAAACTGCGCCGAGTGCGACCCGGGGACATTGTGCACCAACTCGGTGTTTGTAAATGGGGCCACGCCAACGCCAAAAAGCACCGCAATCTTTTATTTACTAGAACAAGATTTTTCTTAGTTGGCCGCTGGTAAAAAGGCCACTTACATGCTGGCAAGCAGCTGACTCATTTCAACAGAAAGCAGCGCACGGTCTCTCGCAACAAAATAAAATCCGGGTAGTAGCGGCGTATGAAAGGGTCAGAGGTGAAACCGCATCATCCGGCCCCACTGGGCCCGTTCCTCCAAGTGAGGCTGCAGAGCCGAGTGGTTTGAGCGTGAGAGCGCCGGGTCGGTGGCGGGACAAATGAGGATGCAGAGACGTCGCCATAATGGCCACCGTCGGTAAAACCATCCTGTTGGTAATAGTGTTAGCGACATTATTCTTACACACACACACACACACACACACACACACGAGTGGAGAGCGTGTTGCAGGTGAGGCGGCAGGGCGGGGCGGACGGCGAGCTGTTTCTTTCCCTGTCATTTAGGATGTGGTGTCTCCGCGGGCACAGAGGCGGCCCGGGCCTCGGCTGAGTCAGGGGTGGCACGGAGGTCACAAGGAGAGTGGTGAGCGTCAAAATAAATAAATAAATTCCAAACTGCCCCCCGGGGGAGGTGGGGGGCTGGACACCGAACCAACCGCCGACGTCGCGGAGAGAGAGAGACGGGTTCGCGGGAGGAATGTGCTGAAACGAAAGCAAGATTACTGAACAAAAAATGTGTAAAAAAAGAAGCAACGCAAACAAAATGTGGGGTTTGTCAGCCCGTTTTCTTCGCTGTTTTTTTTTTTTTGCTCCGCAAAACTGTGAGACTCGAACTAACCGCAGCAGTGCCAAGCCCGATGACTTATCACATCGGCGGCCAGAGCGGCCCTGACCTCACCGGGGTAAAAATGGCAGCGACAGTCACTTGTGCGACGGCCCCGTGGCTGCCGGGGCGCCCAGACCGCTGCGGCGGGGCCTATTTAGAGCGTCCCTCCCTGAGGTTCCCCGGGCTGTGTAGCTGCTTCAGAAAAAGGGCCGAGCGAGCTTCCTGGAGGCTGAGAGGTGGCGGTGGGGGGGACTTTAATTAGACGCCAACTTCCTGTTTGCGAACGCGCTCGTTTCCCAGAAAAAAAAGCTTCCAATTGCGGAGAGGGAAGTTTCCCTGAGTGTAATTACACGTGTAGCTGGGGGGGTGGACCCAAATAGCAGACTTCTTTCCCAGTCGGCCGAAGGTCAGCGCCACTCGGATGATGTCGTTGCTGCAGAAGAACATGCTGAAGCTCTGGTTCTTTTGTCAACACACACTGAACAAATGTCCTCAGCAGCTCTGGTTGAGCATCAGTGTTCATGCGTTGTGTTTTTTTTATTCGTCTTGTGTCGGTGAAAGTCAGACCGATGCTTTTGGAACTAATGAAAACATTAAGGCGCGTTTATGAAGGAGCGACCTCTGCAGCAGAGTATTTACCCAAAACCTCCTAATTCATCATGGCTTTCTTTGACAGGAGACGTTTAGCGAAAAGGTGTTATGTGTGATATGAGCGGAACGTTCTTTCCCCTTTCGCGGTAATACAACTGCATATAATTGAAATTAAAAGAGCGTGAAGTAAATACAAAGCCTTTCTTTATTGTGGTCGCAGGAGAACGCGTGCGTTTCCCTTTGTAGCCGAACGAACAGTCCGCTGCCTCCTCCGTGTAACCGAGGCTCCGACCTATCCAGGCCGAGCTGCGCCAAATAAACAACCCGAGACGTCAGAGTCCAGCTGACCAGCGACTCTGGTGGTCCGTTCCTCTGGCCTCAGGATGTCGACGTGCTTCACCTTCCCTTCTTTCCCTCAGTTACAATCAAACAAAGAACGTCTTCCCTCCGTCGCGACTCCTCGTCTCGGTAAAAATGAATTTAAGTATTGTGGTTGCTGATTAGCAACTGGAAATAAAGAAGGATTTTGAAACCACCAACGCAACCGTTGCCGGGGTGCCACCCATTGACAGAAACATCTGCCATGCCAACAAGGATGTAACCTTGGATGGACCACGGGAGGTGTGGAGCTTGCATACATTATGAAGAGAGATGTGTTTTTATCCCTCACTGACTTTGTCCGGCAAAGACACACCGCTGAAGGTTAATGCTAAAACACACACACGAAACCTATGACAAGTGAGTGTGAAAGAATAGAGAAATAAAAAGGATTTCAGCGTTTCCTGTCGCCAACATGGTCCTCGGAGGAGTTTGCCGACTCGTCGATTATGTGACGAGGGTTACGTCCAAGACGGCATCTGCATTTTTTTGCAGACGGCGATTGGACGTGAAGGTTTCTAGTACGGAGGAGTGACCCATCAATCACAAGGTAGCCCCGCCCTAAAGCATATCCTACTTTATGGTCTATTTGACTCTAAATGGACCATCATTTACTAAACGATCATAATGTATTGATAAGACATGAAACTGGAGGTTGAAACGCTGAAGTCATCTTTACAATGTTAATGAGGTAATAAATCGAGGGAGAAGTGAAGCCATTCTCTCAAGACTTGCAACCAGTCGCCCCCTGCTGGTCACTAGAGAGAATGCAGGTTTGAGGCACTTAACAGAGCATGCCTTTAAAAAGAATTTCCTGTTAATTACCATTTGTCTCCACATGGGGATCAATACACGTTTATCTCTGACCGAGTTGACAAGTCCCTGCAGAGCACGTGGGGTGAAACGGGGGAAGCGGCTCTAACATACTGGTGTGTGCCCATGTGTTGACATCGGCGCATGTATGCTCACCATTTCAGACAAGTTCGCCCCAAATTGGAACAAGAAACGGAGTGGAATGCAAACAGCCATTTGCCAATACATTACACGCAGTCCAACGTAGTGAGCAGGCGAACGCACACATTCACTTTACATCACACAAACGTGAAAGCCCCACGTGCAGCATTCAGTACAGTGGGATACTTCCTCCTTTCCCTCCAAGGCCGGCGAATACACGGTCGACAGGCAAACACACACACCCTGTACCCCCCCCATCGCAGACTCACACAGCCCACGTCTGGCACCCCTTGTTATTATGGACGTGCACATGCTGAACCGCTCAGACAGCTATTCCTGTGTGAGTCTGTGTCAGTCTGCCGGTGTGAGCTTGTTGTTTGTAGCGCTCAGTGTTTTCCTGCTGCTGGTGGAAGTGATTTGGAAAGAATGCGGTGGAAAGGGAGGGGCGTCGCGGCCGTTAAACCAGCGGGGTCGGGACGCAAATGAAAGTGCGGCGCTAACGAGGGCGGATGCTAATTGAGGAGCCTCCCAGCGTGCCGTCGCACAACACACAGACAAGCTGACACAGACACACATCAGGCCCCCACTACAGTATGTGCAGACACATATAGTGGCATAAACGACACCTCTTTAAAATGAATACTTGTTACAGTCGGAGAGTTGGATTTTCTTGGGTTGTCCAATCGGCGTTGGCAGCGTTTGTCGAGGCCCGACTCGATCGAGGTGGGGGGCCGACTGTTGAAAGCAAGCTGCCACCGCTCAGCTGTTACGGTTTGGTTAGCCTTGGTAACCATACCATTCCCAAAATGTGACTTCAAAAGCAGTACGAAAAAGGGACAAGAAGGAGCTTAGAAGGGAAAGCAGATGTCTGAAGGGCCCTCAGGTACGTGTGCAAACACACACACACACACACACACACACACACACACACACACACACACACACACACACACACACACACACACACACACACACACACACACACACACACACACACACACACACCAGAGTTCCGCATTTCATAATGATATATACAAATGTCAGCTACTCACAGACCGGTTCTGGTAACCATCTTATGCAAACAGAATAGTCTCCCTCCTTTTCATTATAAAACATTTACAATAAGACTTCTTTTTTGCAGGCCTTTTGTAAAAAGCAATTAAGGAGTCTATGAATCTGATAGTGTGCACAGGGACTATATGGCACAGAGGAATCACACACACCGGATTCTACAGAGAACATGGGCGCGGCTTTGTGTGGGTTTCGCATGTCGGTATCTCACCTGCTCCTCTGTGATGAGTCCGGAGTGTGTGTCAGTGGTGCAGTGGAGAGGCAGGCTTTGACACAGCTGTCCAAGCAGCATGGCCACCTCCTTCATGCTCCGCCAGCAGCACACCAGCACCATCTGGGCTGTCACCCTGTAGCCCTCACCGCCTGGAGCGCACACACACACACACACACACACACACACCAAAGGTTTGATCATGAAGGGCTTCATTGCTTTCCGACTTAAATGTGTTTTCTTATGTCATGTACCGTGTTACTGCTCTGCACTTAAATGGAAACCAAAAGACACCTTAAGTCCTTGCGTTTGTTGTGTCGCACATACACACACATACACCCCCCCCACACACACACACACACACAGTGCTATTTCTTTTTCCTATAAAGTGGCAGCAAACAATGTAATTCTTTAATACGTTTTGACCCGTGCATTGTAAATATACAACACAAATAAGGTTAAACACCTCCCCCACCAGGACGTCACTGGAACTGCACTCACAAGCATCAATCGCTTGGACTCAACTAAACCCAACACAATCGCAAGTGAAAAATAAAAACTGATACAACTGATGGCTAAACATGAAAACACAGCAGAGTGAGCTCTGCTATTAGCTGTCAATGCAAAGCTATTGATTACTATGATATGGAGGAAAACTGAAAAACGGTGGGACGTTACTGGTGTTTTCTTGTAGATTTTGTGTGACATCACGACCGTCGGTTCAGATTTGACTGCGTTGTGATGAGAAGGAATAGGCCCCCATGTTTGCCTCAGGTCCCTCTCCACCTCTTTCTTGATGCTCCCCTACATCTGAACTAGTGATGTGTGACGTGTGACGCGTAGGGACCTCTGACTGACCCGTGTTCAGCGTCGGCGTGCGTGTGCTGTGACGGTCGTCCATGCGTTCTGTGTTCAGCTCTCTGGCGCTGGTGAAGAAGTCGTTGGTGTCTCTGGGCTGGATCTCCTGCAGGATCCTCTGCAGACCCGCGGACGTCTCTGTCCAAACGCACACAAGAAATAATAACGAGATCCTCACGGGGAGTCCTTCCCAGGAATACATATTCCATCCGTTTGGTGTGGAGGGGGGGGGGGGTTACTTTAACACCTTTCTTTAACTCCTCTAAATAATGTCCCCGATTACCTGAGTCAGTATCCATGGGGATGAGTCCCTCTGGGGAGGAGCTCTGGACCACAGGGGAGACCACATCAGACATCCTGTAGCACACAGCAACCAGCTCGGACACCACACACCTCCACTGCTCCGTGTGGCTCAAACTCCTAAACACGCAGTAAACAAGGACATTTGTTTCTGAGGTTGTGGCTGATTTTGCTCTTCAAGCACGTCGGGGGATCCAGCGGATGCTCACTCGGTATTTAGATGCTGCAGGACAGCAGTGATGCAGTGGGCTCTGCCGTAGAGGGGATAGGAAGCAGCCGCCTGCAAGAGAGACGACTCGGACCTCGACACCTCTGACTGCAGGCAGCGCAGCAAGAACTGAACCGCTGTGGGGGGCACACAATAATTTTATCCATTTTCATTCCCGTCAAAGCCTGCACGCGGATCTATTGAGGCTACGCGTCTGGATCGTACCAGCCAGCGCGTTGAGCTCCAAGACGGCCCCCTCAGAGGGCTGGGTGGGTGTCGAGGGGGGAGGCGGGACCTCGAGGCCCTGCTCCCGGGCGCAGTGCAGCAGAGCCGCGCCCAGGTCCGGCTGGCGGAGCAGCAGGTGGAGGAGGTGGGCGGCTGTGACGCTGTCGAAGGGCTTGGTGCTGGTGCTGAGGTCCAGAGCCGCCTGGAGGACACTGAGCGTCCTCTCCGGGACCTGAAGCCACAAAGACAAGAGTAAGAACCTGGATCGGGATTTAAATAGAAGTTTGATTGTATGACGGAAATGTAAACAACACTTTTATCAAAAGGAACTTTTGCTTTAGGAAATGGCCATAAAAAAAGTGACAAAAAGAAAAATCCAACTATATCAAAAAGATAACCTCTAAAGAATCACATTTTTAATATTGACCTGTAGTCCCACAGCAGATGGCGGCAGTTGCCGTAGCAACGTGGCGGCCAGTTGTTTGACTTCCAGGAAGTTGCTGGCGACGCAGTAGAGGACGTTCTGAGCATGCGCAGAGGTCACGGCCTCGCCGAGGGCAAACACATCGGGGCCTGCGAGAGGTTCACAGAATCCTTAATATATAAAAATGATCCCGTGGATTAAGGGAATTCTTTTTTTTTAATTGATTTTAAAAGAAGCACCTCCTCAATGTATTATAACTCGACTCGTACGAAAACAAAGCGAGTATAAAAAGTACCCTCTTTGATGGTAACAGCCATACGAGTAATGGTACTGGAAAATAAAGTCACTCAAAACAATAATACGACAAACAAAACCCATGACCCAAAGTGTAGGTAAACATGGCTTTATGTATAAAAAGGGATACATTTAAAATTAGTATAAATATTATCACTGAACTACTTGTGGAACTGTTTGCTACAACTGCATTTTATTTTGACACATTTCTTTTGACGATGTATCCTAAGTTCAAGAAGTCATGCGGCTGCGGCTGATGAGCAGCAAATGTACCGGTGCTGAAGGTGAAGAACTCGCCCAGGAGACACAGCAGGTGGAGCGACGTGAGGCATTTGGAGAAGGAAGATCCGGGAAGCAAAACCTCCAGCAGCGTCACACACAGCCAGCGCAGGAACTCCTATATCACACACACACACACACACACACTTTAATTTTCATACACCAAAAAGACTCACATACAGCGTTGCAGTGTGTGTGTGTGTGTGTGTGTGTGTGTGTGTGTCAGACCTTGTACTGACGCAGTGTACGTTGGTCTCCGTCTCTCTGTTCCTGCTCCCTCTCCTGGATCAGTCTCCTCTGCAGCAGCACTGCGCTGTCCTTCAATCTACACAGCAGCTGTACAGAAGAACATGTCGAGCACCTGTGAGTGACACTTTGGACTCAAAGGATCATTGGAAAAAAAAAAAAAAAGCAACCAGAGATCCATTAGGCTAACGGGTCCAAAAATAGCCACGTACAGAAAGAAAGACACACACAATAATTACAGATAATTAGTTCCAGTAAAAACCGCTGTGGGCCAATGAGCTGATTTTTTTTTTTTCACGGAAAATAACTACTCACGGCTGTATGTCGGCAAAGAGGCAAAAGTCAAATAAATTATTCCAAAAACAGTAGTGCAGTGCAGTGAACCGTCTGACCTTCTTCAGCAGGCTGACGGTCTGCTGTCGGACGCCTGGTGCCTGGCTGTTGAGATTGGGCGGCAGGAAGTGGCGGACCAGCTCCATTTCCTGGGAGCTCACAGCTTCCGTGCTGCGGTGGCTCTCGCACACTAACCCCAACGCGTCCATCCTCACCTGGCGGGTCGGAGCGGACGGCGCACCGTTACATCCGGGATACGTTCACTTCTGAGAAACCGTAACAGTTCAGAACCCCCCCCCCCGAGGCCTCAGACACTCACTTGATCATGTTTGTGTACCAGAGCTCGCTGTAGCAGGGAGAGGGGCACCAGTCCTCCCCACAGACCCTCCTTTGAGGACGGGACGACGCCCTGAGCCTTGGCCGCCCGCAGGCACGTCATGAGAGCTCCCAGTGCGCCCCTGCTGCCTGAAGGACCCGACGAGGACACAAAATAATAATTTATGGAGCAACATCCCTCCCCGCAACCCAACGGCGCTTTGTGAAGTTCAGACATTAAAGCGGCGCTGATCATGAGAACAACCAGAAGTCTGTGTGTGTTTTTGTGTTTTCGTCCTTACCCGCGTGGCAGGGCGGCGCCGTGTCCTGTAAGGCCTGCACCATGTGCGCCAGACTGGAGGGACTGCAGCGTAGCAGCTTGGGCAGGAAGTAGTCCAGGATGTACGTGGTCTGGTCCAGCCTGGCGCGGCACAGCACCCGCAGCAGGGGGGTGACCCACGTCTGGTGCCAGCGCTCCATCCAGTCCCGCGTGGCCGCCTCGCCCGCCGCACCAGCCTCGTCGGCCAGCTGCGCCTTGTGGCTCACGAACAGCCTCTCCAGGAGGTCGCTGGCGTACGGGGCCAGGTTCTGGTCGCCCATCAGCCCCACCAGGTGCGAGGGCAGCTGGGGCTGGACGGCAAGCAGGTGGCCCGCCCCGTACAGCTCCACCAGGCAGCCCAGGGAGCCGTACTTGCCCCGCATGTGCCACTCCAGGCCCAGCAGGCTCCGGGTGAGCTCCGAGACGTACGGGTCCTCGGGGGGGTCGGGCGCCGGCGGGTTGGCGCGCTGGTGGAGCAGGAGGAGGTTGCGGAACAGGGAGCGGGTCTGGTGGCGCACGCCGTCCAGCGGGTGCTCCCAGTGGGAGTAAATGTGCTCCAGCAGGTGTCGCTGCAGCTCCGAGCCCCCGCTGAGGGAGCGCCGCAGGCGGGGCGGGCAGGGCTGCCCTCCCGCCTGCAGGCAGTCCAAGGCGGCGCTGCTCCACAGGGTGAGAACCCGAGCCACCACCATGGCCGTGCTGGACTCCTTTATGCTGCGGCAACGGACAAGAAACAGACGGCTGAGGTTATGCATCGACTACTTTTGAGATCTTTCTACGATCGAAGGGTTACGACCAAGAGCGAGGAGGGAATCGGGATCAGTTCAGCAGTTCTACCTGACGTCGAGGTCCAGCAGCGTGTTTGGAACCAGCAGCAGCAGCTCTTCCCACTGCGGCCCCGGGAGAGCGCCCCTCCAGCTCAGCATGGCCAGAGCCCCGTGACACAGGTACAGGGAGACCCCCGCCGGGCGCCCGCCGGCACACAGGCCCTCGCACCGCTGCTTCAGCCACCGGGGGGCCGAGTCCAAACCCGGCGGCGAGCTACGCAGCAAACTGCACACCTGATGCACCGAGACAGGAGTCTCGTTCAAAGCTCAGGCGAGAAAAAAGAAAAAACATCCGTAATGTGCGAAATACAGACTCGTTGAGCCTCGACTCACCACAGAGGCAACTTCATCTCCACAACCCATGACGGAGCGGATCAGGAGGACTACAGCGAGGCCGGCTGTGCTCTGCACCGACTGGACAAACTCTTCTGGAAACAGGGGGAAACAAACACGGCAGGAGAGGAGTGAGAGGGTAGAGTAGCCATTTGTGTCCCATTGACGTGTTCACATTAAATGCCCATCATGACTCCACCCTGCGCTTCAGAAACACCCATTTTCTTAAAATCGACTGGTTTAAACAGGATAGTGATCCCAAAAACGTCTATCATGCGCATCGATCATGACAATGATCCAATGAATAAGACATATCAAAGAGTTTACTTCAGCATCTTTCCTACACTGCAAGAACTTTCCCCAAAGAGATAGAGACCCCTCCGCGGCCGTTCTCAGCCTCTATTACACGTGTGTAAGTCATGTGAAATTATAGTACCTGGAGGTTATCTCTAATTTAAAAACAAAAGCAGTTTAGAATTGTAATGAAACAGACACATCTAGAGTCCAGAATTTCACTACTTGGACCCATTAGGAACAGCTTTTGTTAAGTAGCACTTCTTGAATAAGTAATAAATAATTAGTAAGAATGGTCGGTCGTTGGCTAGATCCAGCCACGGACGGCTGCCACGGCGCTTTAGTGCGCATTGTTTGGTTTTCTGCTTATCTGTTCATATTGTTAATTCTTGCTTATATATTTTTATTTTACTTTATTATTTTATTCTAATATTGCACCAAGTCAAATTCCTCTAATGTGTGTCAATAAACGGCTTATGCTTCTGTCCTTTGGAGGCCTGTCTGGTACCGTCGGTGAGGATGTGCGTGTAGCAGCCCAGCAGGCGGCTCAGCGTGTCCTCCAGCTCGGCCCGCAGGCTGCCGCCCATCGTCTCCTGGCACCTCTGGATCACCAGCACGGACGTCTTCACCGCCGCCAGGCAGGACTGCATCAGCTGGGCCTGGGCGATGTGACGTCCCGTCAGGCCACTTGGGACAAAAACAGCAGGGGGGAGGGAGGTAGAAGAGGGGGGCGGGGTCAACGGAGAGCTTAAAACTCTTTCGATGTGTAGTGAAACTACTAGATATGGAAGACAGCAAGCGTACCTGTTGAGGTGCAGGTATTCGCTCAATCCCTTGTGAATAAACTGCAACACTACATAGCGCAGAGAAGAGAGTCAATAAGAAGCTTGTTTCATTTTTTTCTAACACAAGTAAGCAGGACTTTTACCTTCGGGCAGCAGCTTGTTGATGCATCTCTCCCCTGGAGAAAACAACATTTTGGAAAAGTAGTTATTAAACACTTAACAATTCAGATCCAAATGACAACAGCAGCAATGAAAAGTGGAACAAGTCAGCAGGATGGGCGAAGAGGCACACAGCCACACGCACCGAGGGGGAAGCTATCCAGGCAGGCAGCGACGGTGTCCATGGCGTGCGGGTAGCGCTCTGATGCCGGGTCGGACAGACAGTCGGACAAGCAGGCGGACAGAGTGCCGAGAGCAGGCTCCTGCATCCAGGCTGGTGCTGAAGACAAAGCACTGGGGGGAGGCAACACAGACACGTTTTAACTATCAGGGGGCCGGTTGTCCTGTGGCTTAACTCTTCAAGGCCCGGTGTGTGAAGCATTTCCGTGGGATTCAGTCGCAGAAATGGAATACAAGAGTCAGTACTGGGTTTTCAATGCTAAAACTAAGAATGTCTCCGTTTTAGCAACAGAATAAGGCCTTAACATCTACAGCGGTTCATGTGTCTACGGAATCCCACACAGGACAAATGAAACACTGGCTCTAGAGAGCGACTTTCGCCTTTCCTAGGTAGTCCTGGAAAGCGAGGAGTGAGAGGAGGAGGTGGTTGCTATCTGCAAACACACAGCTAGATGGCGGCAAATCCCACCACCCTTTCCCTGCAAGGTCCTAAACACAAGCTAAGGAAGCTTAGCCTTTCGCCTGGGAGCAGTTCAGAGGCAATGATGGTTTGCCCAACTCCCTTTTACTTGAAAGCGGATTTCAAAAGAAGGAATAGCGCGAGCCGCTGAATCAAGCGGCAACAACGCGCGTACCTGGCAATGGCTCTTCGCAGAGGGTTCTTGGCCTGCAGGGAGGTGTAGACCAGAGCCAGGGCGTGCAGACAGGCCTGTAGAAGGGCTCCATCGGGCTCCTGCTCACTCAGCGCCTCCAGCTGGGACCCTGCCTGAAGCACAACGGACACACAGACGTCACACACCCTGTGGCGGCATCTCACCCATGTAGTTTGTGCAAAGCGGGAGACGTGGACAAGACGGCAGCGTGAAGGTTTCACACGTGAAAGCACAAATAACAGACTTAACAAAACACAGCAGCAAAAATGCTAAAAACAGACTTAAAAATAAACAGCATGTCGTTTTGCAACAGGAAACACACACTCCATCCTGTTTGTAAAGGCTTTATAACTAATAATATAATCTGGTTTAAATGTTCCCCAAAGCTCACGCCAAGCGCAGAGTGCAAACGCTTTAAAAGCTCTTCCACCAAATGAGGTTCAGCTCGGCATTTTACCTGCATGGTTAGAGGTTGCAGCTACTGACAGGTCTGTGTAATATTGCCGAATACCAGTCTTCAACTTTACACTTCGTCGCGAGAGGACCAGCATGTAATTGTCGTCTAAAAAGTCAACGATATGCCCGGACGGGCGCCTTCTTTTCATTTTTATTTTTCCAATTGCATCTTGCATCGGTCCCGACCGACCTTTTTAACCAGCTGGATCTGCTGCACGGGCTCCGACAGCTCCAAGCAGGCCTGCAGGGTGCGAGCGAGCTGGCCCAGTCCCTCCTGTCCTCCATCCACAGACAGGGACGCTAGGAGAGAACACACATTGACAAATATTAATAATATATATATTTTTTTTTTTTTAACCCAAAGATTGTGATCTCACTTAGAAGACGACATTTGGTTTTCTCCCTGGGGCCCGTTTGTTAGAGGGTTACCGGGGAAAGGATGAACAGTTACCTATCAGCCCGTGTAGCTTCTCCTCATCCAGAACCACAGCTTGCACTTTGGCGGCTGTCTTCTTCTTCTTCACCACCATGACTGTGCCCTGCGAGTGACAGCTAATGCATTCATCTCAAACAAGAATTACAATCTGATAATATCTTAAACCTGGTTTTGTTTTAGCGAATACAAGTAAATAAAAAAACAGCATGGAAAACATTGCTCATAAATGAGCGGGATGCTGAATGTTTACCTTATTAACGTCGCATTTACAGATGAAGGGGGTTTTCTTCATGCACGTCACACCTGCACCACGTCCGAGTGTCTTTCTATCTCACTCGCACAGGCGAATAATAATAGATAATAACGCGTGGGAAAAGAACGGTTTCTGCAAACGTGCTTCTTTTACGGTGGCTGCTGCTGGAACGACTGTTAGCAGAACGCCGCTGAGTTATTAGCCGCGAAGCGAACGGGCAGAACGCGGCCGCAAAACGCCGGCTTACACATTAAAGCCGCGCGACGCTCACGGCGAGTTGGAGAAGACGAATGAACGTTTCAGGTGGAATAAAGTGAGTCGGCGTTCACCTCCATTCGGCAGGAGATTCACTCGGCGCTCTTCTGCTTCGGCTCGTAACGTTCGCGGTGAACTGTGTCACGCTAGAGAAGAAGAGGCGCTCATTTCCTGTATGGAAATTTCAGAAGAAAACATCATGCAAAATAACAAAATAAAATGCTTTTTTTTACTACTTTTCAATATTCATGTATTTTATTAAGTTTTGTAAATGTATTATTTTTTGAAAACAGTGTTAATTAACGACTTTTGCAAACGTGTATGTTGTTAAACTGCACAACTTGCAGCCACACTCATTCCTGTTCCTGTGAGGCTGCCGTTAACTTGATGCACATACGGTCCACGCCGTGCACGTGCACATGTTGGACGTCACTTCCGACAAGTTGTCACGCTGCCATTAATGCTCCGTCAATGAAATAGCGCTCCGGCTTCTCATTGGCGAAAAACCCACGTCAATCAAATACGGGGCGTAGTGGTTCTGCAGCGCAAAGACCCGCCTACCGAACACACGATTGGCCGCGTCGTGTTAAGCCCCGCCCTCTTAAAACATCCAACCCATCTCCAACTTTTCCCCGAAAGCTAAAATGAAATCCTCCCAGTCAGGAGACAAATTCACCGTTTTACTATTAAAACAGGGATTTTTCTCCACAGCAGCAACAACAAACCGTACGGACGCTGGTCGACATGGACTGAAGTCCGTCGCAAATATTCGACCCATCGGATAATCTCGAGGTAAATAGAGAAACTTTGATGAAACTTTGCACTTTTTTATAGAATAGTAAACGACAGGGTTGATTGTTTAATCGGCGCGGTTATGACAAAACGCTGTTTGGTAGAACAAGTGAAGGGAAATTGGTGATTTAGTCGGTGACACTGATGACTGTGAACGCGGTCTCTCCTCGTTCCCGTTACTACACAACTCATTGTTCAAGCAAAACAAAGTAAGTGATGCTATTTGTGTCTTTCTCTGACTGCTGTTATATAAGATGAAATATACAGTTTCTATTCATTAAATATCCTAATATTTATTTGGCTTTAGAGAAAATCAAAATACTTCAACTATGACGTAGTACAGTCCATTACATTTAAAGTACTTCAAACTATTTCAAGTTGAATCCTTTGCCTCACGCTGTTTTTTTACATTTCTGTATGAATAACGGATGTTTTTTGGGGGGGGGGGTCCTTATGTTTTGGATCATCATCACCTAATTAAGGCTTTTAATGGCTCTTTACTACAATACGTCACCAGTTCAGAGCACAGAACCACAGATAAGTGCACAGACAGCAGATTCTGGTCCTCTCTCTCTCTCTCTCTCTCTCTCTCTCTCTCTCTCTCTCTCTCTCTCTCTCTCTCTCTCTCTCTCTCCACTGAGGCTGACCTTACTTTACTCGACAGGAAGTGAGCTGCAGAAACAAAAAGAAACTCTGCGTCAGGAGTCAGAGGTCAAATAAATGGCCTTTAGTGTTTGTCAGTCCTTTCGTCGTTGCTGTGCGTATCTGTTGATGCTAATATTCTCACACAAACTCTTCTCAACAGGGACGTACAAGGGTGCGCGAATCATCGTCCCAGAGGACAAGTCCCCATCAGATTTACACAACTCAGGCACTATAACAATGTGTTATTTTAATCAGTGTCAGTAAAAGGCCTTAATCAACTAAAACCTTAACAATAATCAGGATCATGATCAATCATCAAATTCAGGATACAATTAAAGTTGCAGTAAAATCTGCAGCATATTTCAATTCATTCAGGGTAATATGGTTTGGCAAATAATCTTTGAATGCATTACATTTGTATTACTTCTATAAATATATATATATGTATAATAAAAGAGGAGATGGCATCATAGTCCCTTCACCAACACGGCACGGTTCCTCCTATATGTCGTTCCCCTTCATGCCCCCCTCCCAGCCTTCGCCAGTATTCACCGCGGCAAAACAGGCAACAGAAATAAGCCTGTGGAAACCATTCCTCTCTTTTAACAGCCTCGCTCGCCATATGTTTGCAGTCTCTTTGTAAGCAAGCCAGGCCGGTAATGAGAGGTTATTATACGGGGGAGAAAGAAAACGCAGGCTTTTCTATCTTTTCCTTCCTCCTCCTTCAGAGACCCTCGTCCGTCCCTCTCATCTCATCTTTCTGTGTCCTGTTTTCATACAGCAGAGCTGGAAAACGCATGACGCGAGTACGTCCCGTGTAGGTTGTTGGTGCAAAGTTGTTGTGTGGGGTTGTTTTTTCCACTTTTTGGTCAAAGCCCACGAGTCCGTCTGGGCTCGACCTCTGGAATACTTCAGGTGCTGCTAGCAAAACATCTGCACAACAACAAGCTCTCTGTCTGAATCAAGCGGCAACAAATATATATATATATATATATATAATTGGTCTAGATATATTTGTGTACTTCATGTTATTTAAAAACAAAATACAACACTTGTTCCCCTAATTCAACAATAACACAAGTAATCAACCCTTGCTACATCAAAGTTATTAACTGGAACTTTGATATGAAACTTGTTTAAAAAATGGAAGAAATACCCTTAAGTGAGTAGGAAATTAAATGAACAGGGCCAGAAAACCTCCACAGTTAATATCTGACATTAAGACAATTCTTTTTTGGAAATGAGGCATTGGGATATTAAATTGAAACGTTAGATAAATCTTGGTTCAAATCTCTGGTTTCATTTTGTTGACTCAATTAATGTCACAGTCGGTGTTTGTGGCTTGAGTGGGTTTTGGATAACTTTGTGTATCACTACATCAATTCTAAAAATTAGTTTTTGACATCCTTTTTTAGGAATGAAATGATTTTTTAAGATTTGAGTGATAAAATGAAAACATTTTCATAATACAGATTGGACTCTGAGGAACTTGGTGTATATACACATCTTCTATAATAATGTTATGTTTAATCACGCCAATGTGGGCATTATCTAATGATACCTTTTGGGATTTTAGTCACAGACTAACATAAACAAAAAGGTTAAGTAAACACGTGAATGTGTATTGGATGGATGTTTTCTTTCCACTCGCCTGAAAAGGAGAAATTCTGAAGGCAAGTAGCACCAAATTATCAAAAGCTGTCAGACAAATTATGTTGTTTTTGTCCTGTAGTTTCTCTCCTGGAAGCTGGACACCTAAAGATGCTGACGACTGAAAAGAACAGCTGATCTCTGCTGTGTTGTCCCCCCCCCAGGCATGGCAGAGGGCGAGGAGGCCATGAGCCAGGAGGTCTGGAAGGAGAAGTGCGTGGTCCTGGAGGCGCTGCTCATGAAGTTCCGAGTGCAGGTCATCAAGATTCGAGAGCTCACCGCCGACAAGGTGGGTCCGAGCGCGCAAAAAACCAAATCATTTAAATGAGAATATAAGAGACAAAGAGGAAAATAGTCAACCTACCCCCAAAAATACAGTAGTACGATCATGTTCTTATGTGTAGTACTGTTTCCAGCACAGCCAGACGGTTTTGTTAATGTACCGTCAGATCAGATAACCAGTCACATGACTGATTCTTCATCGCTCCGTGGCTAAGTTAGAATTCACATACCGACGGATTGTATACTGTACGGTATACAAGCGAGGCCCAGCGAAGCTACAAGGCAACAAGGCGCTTCTGACGGGCCCCCGGGCTCGCCTCCTTCCGCCGGAGCTTTTTCGACTGCAGGTCAAAGGGGGGCAGTGAAGCCGGATCTGGATCTCACGCACACACACAATTTTTGATGCTACGCAGTTAACATACTCAATTCTATATGACACATGATTGCTCTTTACACAGCCCCCTCGTCTCCGTGTGATCGGTGATGGAGACAGGCTGGAGGACGGAGCTAAAGAGTTCTCGCGGGGGGGGGGGGGCGGGTTGTCTGGCCGTCCCTCCCTGCGCCGGTCCGGCCCAAACCGCTCAGTGGCCTAGATCTGCAGCCCCTCTCCAGGGAGGCTGATTAGAGCTCTAATGTAAACAGCAGTCTGACCACGCGGCTCCGCCACGCACTGCATGATGGGACTGACCCAGCTCCAGTTGATTACAGAGTCAAAGTAAACTCTGCCGGGGAGCAAAAAAAAAACCTCTGGTAGAGACTCGGGAGACAGTTTGGCCCTCGACAGCTTTTCCGCTCAACGCCATAAAACACACCATCAAACGCACGCGTTCTATAATTCAGCTCGGCATAAGCGGTTGACCTTTTTCTTCTTTGAGTGGTGTTGACTGTTGGTTCAGCAGGTAAGCGCTCAGCTGTCCGTGTGCTAGTCTGGATGCCAGTTTGATGCCGGTTTGGGTTTTCTCGGTGCACTGCGACAGGAGGCCCGTGGGGCTGCTGCGATTCTGACGGAGAAAAGCTGTAATCCTGTTATTTCGGGCCATCCGCAATAGCGTTGACTCAGTCCCAAGGATGCAGAGTTCAAGCAGAGTTCACTCGCATATCTTCATCTTTTTATTGACCAAAATACTTCTGCACCACTGATCTCCAAATCTCCAATTTAAAATCAAAGCAGTTTTTCTGCAGCCGTCTGATTGCAACACGGATGCGTTTAATAACTCCCATCGGTTTGTTGTAGAATGACCCATCACTTACCCGGCGATGCTATGAGCTCATCATGTTAGCATGCACAACCCCCTGCTGATGTTTTTTTTCACTCTACTGTGGCTCCCACCGACTGAGCCAGAGCTTGTTGCTTTTAAAAGCAGTGCGGGGGCGCGTGTACGTCACTACAAAATCCCCCTCATAGCACGGTGGAGGTGGGATACTGAAAAGGCCCCAAGGACTCGTCTTGGCTCTGGTCCTTAGGGACCTGGAGCTTTGGGTACGTTCGTTAAATCTAAACGAGTTAAGATGTTTGTTGCTTGAGCGGTCAGATTAAGTCAATCAAATGTTACGACTTGGCTTATTGCTGGAGTCCTAGAACGCCAGAGCAAGAGAGATGAGGACGAGTGACGAGGAAGAAAGAAAAAGATTTAGCCCCACGGGAGGAAACACCCAGTTTAGTGAAGCTATTTATATGTAGATATTGTATGTGTGAACGTGTCTGCATTCATAGAGGGTTTTTTGAAAGAACGCATTGCGTGTGTGAGTGCAGCTATTTGAGGAGGAGGCTGGATTCGGCCTGCGGGGCCTCCAGCCGGAACAGTAGGCTACACATCTAAAGACGCAGACAAAGAGGCTGTGTGTTACTTTTTTACGTCAGCCGATCCCGTCCTAACGCAACACACCCGTAGTTCATTTTCACTCCATCTCTCTGAGAACCTGATCCCTATAAACAACGTATCATCTGCATATTGTATGAGAGGAAAGCGCAAATGATGATAAATTGCTTAATGCGTGTGCCTCCTGTCATGGAATTAGGTGCCAATAATGAAACTGTATCCATTGCAAACTACACACACACACACACACACACACACACACACACACACACATATATTGATATTGTACATACAGCAGACACACACCAAAACCACAAGCGGCCGGAGTGGCGCACTCTGGTCTCGTCCTCCATTCTGATTGATTGCACATTTGGAGAGGAGACTTCCTCCATGGTCCGGGCGGGGTTTGCTCAGGTGGACCAATCATGTTTCATGCATTGGCTTAAACATTAAAAAAGAATATCAATTAATTTAAAAACCAAAACATGTGGCGTATCGAATTAACAGTTTGAACAGTTAAACGTTTGACAATACAGAAGCTTATTGTGGTAAGTATTTGTATGTCTGTTGCTCTCCGAATGAATTTAAAGAAATTCAATGCGTTTAAACATGAATAAAAGACGTGGTCTTGGTGTTATATGTAAATCAGTTCCATCCAAGGCCTAAAAGGGCTCACTTAAGAGGTTCGGATTTTGTCATTTGGAAATCTAATTTTAAGATAAAATCTAGTGCACTGCAGTTTGTTTGTTATTATTCCTTTTTACTATTCATTAAATATTCAAACCACACATCGAGTGTGTATATTTATATACATAAATATAAATTATCACTTAGTGACCACCACCAGATGCCTCCGACCGACCAATGAGTCAATCAGTCTTTTTGCGGCCTGTGTGTCAAAGACTCACACAGACTTAATGTTGATTACAGTTTGTTCCCCCGTTTGTCAACAGTTTGGATTCCGTCGAACAGATTTACAACGAACACATCTGGCCGTTAGTCTCACGCCCTCGGTGAGCAGACTGACTCTATTCGGCAAGTCCTCAGTATCAAAAGCTGTAGGTCAGCACTGGGACTCGCAGCGTCTACAGAGGGAGGCTTTGTGAGCTGGCTGCGGACGGAGCGATGGGGGTGGAGGGAGAAGGGTGGAGTAGTCCAGGATCGAGGTCGGCCACAGAGCGCCAGTTGTGGAATTCTAAGAATGGAAGTTGAGCCAGAGTTTGGATCCAAAGCGGCTGCACGGAGGGGATGGAGCGTCTTTGGGTGGTTGGATTGGAGGCGAGCCGAGTGTGTGTGCGTGTGTGTGTGTGTGTGTGTGTGTGTGCACCCGGCCCTTACTCATCCTATTATAACATACAGAATGAGGAAATATATGCACTTGTAGCAAACATGGTTTGATACCGATGATAATATCATCACACATCGTCAGACATGTGTTTTTGTCTTGTCATGTGTGTGCGCGCGTGTGTGTAGTGTGTGTGTCGTCTCCATCTCCAGCACGCTACGAGCCCTGTCATTAACGGGCGCTCCTTTGGAGTGCGGTTTTTTAGACAAGAGCCCCCTATTTTTGTCCTTTTCACCCCCTTTTTTTCGCATGAGAGGGTTTTGGTGTGTGAAACGCATATTTTTTTGGGTGGGTGTGGGGGGGGGGGGGCAATCACACTGAAGCCACAAAAAGTCTTTTTTTCTACATCCAGGTAAAAAGAGGATCAAATGCGGTCTGTGGACTCACTGTCACTCAGTATTCAAGCTGTCGAATAAAACCCTTTTTTTTTGTTCTGTTTTCATCAGCGCTGGAGGGTGAATTGGATCGCTGTATCTCCAAACCCACATGTGCAGAGTTACTGCCCGATGACATAGCGGAGACACGCAGCCTTGTCTGGAGAACTCTCCCAAGTAACTGCGGAACAGTGTGAGCCGCCGCTCCCACTCCGGTCCAGGAAATGCTGTGCAGTGGAAACACTGAGCGGCTCTAGCAGGGCGTGGCTGCCTTTTTTGGGCCGCGCTGGGGCGGCAGCTTCCCCTGGTCTGCTCCTCCAGCTGGAGGAGCAGCTGAACACAGTTTCAGCGTCCGCTTCAAAAATGTTGCACCGAGGCACATTTCTAAGGAGTCACATAAAGGAATTTGGGTGGAGGTTTCTCTAGACCTCTGAAGGGGCTGCTGGTTTCAGCCGTAGACTCTTTTTTTTGATTGGTTGATCCATCGCTCGTATAATCAGGTCAAGGTCCCTTTAGTACAATGAATGACTTATTTAGGAGTCATTGCTATTCACTGCCACTGTTCAAATGTACTTTTATATGATTGTAAGAGAAAAGTATAAATGAGCGACAGGACAACGGTCCTGTGTATCTATTGACTCCACAGTAAATGATTCGACGATTTCCATCATTATCTTCGGTACTTTGTCCTATTCTTAGCTACATCCTATTCTCTGGTGTGTCAGCTTGACCCTCCTCCCTCCCCCCCAGGGGGATGGTCAAAGGTTACCTTATAATCCACTCTAGTTCTAATTTTAGTATTGAAGCTGAGGCGCCATTCCCGCCCATTTTTCCCCCACGAGGTCGCTGAGGTCTCAGAGACCGTCCTCGGGCCGACTCCGCCACTTTGAGCAGAGGAATTCCAGAGGAATGCTGCTCATGAAGTCGTCTCTCGTGTCCATTCCCACTGGACTTTTGTGTCCTTGTGCACGTGCATTCATATGCCTGTGTGCGTGCGCGTGTGTGACCTTTTTAACACACTGCTACCAGGTTCCACATGCTCGGCTCTGATCTCGGCACACAAAGAGCCGTTTGTGCCTTTACAGATGTGACGCCTCGTCATTACTATAAAACCGGTTAAAGGTGCCGGATGCAGCACTTCTGCAGTAATCTATTGTCCCTGCTGCATCCGGCGGCGCTGTTCGACCTGACAGCGACGTAGTTGGATGCAAAGACGTTTCAGCTTCTTTCAGAGTCTGGTCTCCGCCCTCTGGGGGCCTCAAAAACAGCCGTCCCTGAACCTGTTGTGATGCCCTAGGCCTCGGAGGCCGGCTGGTACGTGTAGTCACTGCAGGCAAAGCTCCCAAGAGCAGGAGAAACACAGCCTCCTCTGTTAACATAGCAGGCACTGAGTGGAGTTCATTGCCTCGATGGAGCACTTTTACCACACACACTGATGAGGAACTGAAGGAGCTAAATATGTAAATGCACATTTTTGATACATCAGGGAACTTTATGTCTCTTACATGTGATTCCAAACATTCTTTTGAGACATAAGTCCTGCTGCTGAGCCTCTGTCTTTATCTGGTGCTGTTGTGTTTGGAGAGATATTTCAGTAGTAAGTTATTGGATTAACCTTTAAAAGAGAGTTCTCTTTGTTCCCCAGATTCAACAATTGGAGACGCAGGTGACAGATGCCGAAAAACGGGCCTTTGCCGATCACCAGCAGGTCAGGATCCCAAATCGAGCGCGCTGTTCACTTTTTCACTTTCAGTGTGGTGTGTGTATGAACGGTCTGTGTGTGTGTGCGTGTTTTCAGGTGCAGTGGATGGAGGAGAAGCTGAAGGCCTCCGACAGCCAGTCGGGGGACTCGGAGGTCCGTCTTTTCCGACGGTGCCAGGAGCTGCAGGCTCTGCTGCAGGAGAAGGAGGACGTCATCGCCCAGCTGGAGCAGCAGCTTGAGGAGCAGGTAAGAGCACATGCACGCCGGAGGGAGACGTGGCTCGCAGTCCGCCTTCGCACTCACAAACACCATTTCCGACGTCTTAATTCTCCAGAAACAGATCCGACTTCAGGACGCCAAAACAGTGGAGGAGAAAGCCGCTAAGATCAAGGAATGGGTGATGCTGAAGTTGTCCGAGGTAAATTAAATGATTACTTTTGATTTCAAGTTGCACAAAACTCCATTAGGTAAATCCCTGAGTCCAAGAAAGGTGCTTTTATTTTGAAACATGCTCCTTCTTCAGTTTGAGATGGAGAACGCCGCGTTGAGAGAAACCAACAAGCAGCAGGAGGCTCAGATTGGCGAGTTGCAGAAACAAGTGCAGTGTGAGTTTTAACTCTGGTTTATCCATCCCAAAACAGCTTGAAATTATAATTATGATAATAACGTTCAGTTCTTTCATCCGCAGCCCTCGAGCAGAAGTGCGGCGGCGGAAGAGAAGTCCTGTGCAAACCAGGCGAGGCCAAGCGGCTCAGCAGCCTGACGTTTGGCTGTTTCCAGGTGAGGGGGAAGAGCCCGCAAGTGCTCGTCGGACCAGCACCGTGCCAGAGGACCGTCAGCAGCCAGGAGGAGACGGAGGGCAGAGACACAACCAGTACGTCGCCGTAGATTCATAACTTTGACCCCGGATATAATTCTGGGACAAACTGGAATTTGGAAAGTTACTCACAAGTTTTAGTCTAAATTGAATTATTTAATTGCCTTAGAAAAATTATAAGTAGTTTTTATTTACTTGAGAACTTACGTACGGAAGCCTGCAGAGACAAATGAGCAAAAACAATTCTGGTGATTGATTTTTTAAGTCTGTCATAAATGTTTTTTATGTAGTGCAACATGTGGGGAAATGTTTTTGGGCAGGATCTTCTTTTCGTTTGTTGTAATACTCATTTCGGCCACAAGAGGGCAAAGAGCACCACTTCCCTATGTTTCTATCTAGTAAGTTTTTATTTCTCCATGACCTCTAAACTACCTGTATTGTATATCAGCAAGCTTCGTAAATTAAAACTCTTCTGGTGGTGTACACCTCCGCCTCTTGTGGCTGAAGCAGGCATTACAACAACAAAAAGATATTTAACAGCTGCTGCTTCCATGTCTGCTTTAACAGAAGAAGCCTCCTCTGGGACAAACGGTGAAGTCCGGACACCGGACCCTACCGGACCTCAGGAGGGCGACAGTGCATTCGAAAGCCTTGGTGGGAGCGCACACAGACCCGAGTCTCGTGGCGTCTCCTCGGTGCTCTCCAGCGCTGCCTCTGATGGAGGAGGAGCAGGTCGAGGAGGAGGCGGCGGCGGCGGTCCCGAGTCCAGCCGCCCCGGCAGTGAGACCTACCTGACCGCTTCGGACGACAGCAGCTCTCTGTTTGACGACGACATGCAGCGGGCTGAGCGGCCCGGCTTCGGCCTGCTGGGGGCGCCCGATGGGATGCTTGGGGGGTACAAGGGGGAGGCGGAGGAGGAGGCACACGGGGCCAAGCTGGAGGACCTCACCTCTGAGGAGCTCAACAAACGTTTCAAGTCCCAGCGACTCGACTCGTCATCCTCGTCGGGCGAAGGCAACACCCCCAGCCCCATTCTCACGCCGGCCCTCACCCCTAAACGAGCTAACTCGCTCAGGACCCGAGGGATAACCCGGCCTCGCCCAAACAGCCCCGGCTGCGGACCCCGGCGGGCTTCGGATTGACGAATGCGGCCCTGGCCAAGAGACACCTGAGCCAGCCCCCGACCAGCACCGAGGCACCGCAGGGACGCACGCGCAACGCTCTCAGCATGCTGCGCACGCTCCGCCCGCAGGAAGCCGACCTGGACCAGGAGCAGCGGGTTGGCATGGAGACGGCCAGGGAAATGCCTCCTCAAAGCTCAAGGGCCGGTCATGCGTTTACAGCCCTGCAGACCTCGCGTGGCCTCCCGGAACCTGGTGCGGAGGTCGGCGGTGATATCTCAGCTCCCCCTACGCCCCCGCTGCACCGGCTGCCCTCCTGGGTAAGAAAGTCTGTCTGAACTCCATCGCGTAGCAGTGCGCTGAATGGACCAGATCACTGTGGCACGGGCTACTTGTTGCTGCTAGGAGGCGTTAAAGGGATAGCTTGGGAGTTTGGAAGTGGGTCTATATGTGGCATTTATCCACGGTCAGTGTAACAGTAACAGAATTTGCAACAGACAATTTTTTTTCTTTTCTTCCCCACAGGAGCGGCGCATCTATGCCGTGGCTAAGTCAGGAATCCGCCTGTCGGAGACGTCCTGCACGGGCCCCACTACCAAAGGTGAGACGCAGAATGAGAAGAGACAATCCCCCATCAGCACTGACTAACTGAACTGTGGCCCGTGCGTCTGCAGACCCCTCCCTCCTGTCCTCCTATCCCGCCTTCGCGATGTACACGTCCCTCGTCTATAAGAACATGACTGCGCCGGTTTACACCACTCTGAAGGGGGTGAGTGCGGCGACGACATCTCTAGCGGTCTGCTGTCCCTTCTTATCTTGATAACCCCCCCCCCCCCCCCCCCTATTCTCTTTCGCGTCTCGCAGAAAGCCACCCTGCTGAGCAGCAGCCCTCTCTCGGACGAGTCGTCCAGCTCCGAGGAGTCGTCCAGCTCGGGGGAGGAGGACGGCTCCCTCTGCAGCTCCCGCGCCTCCTCCAGCTCCCGCAGGGACGGCAGCCCGCGCTCCCTCAAGAGAGGTGAAGCCCACCCCTCCGCCAGATGTTGACCTCTGCACCGACACAATGAGGCTTCAACTTTGCTTGTCCCCCTCCAGCCGTGTCCATGTCCTCGATGACGTCAGAGAGCGACTACGCCATCCCTCCCGATGCCTACTCCACGGACACAGAGTGCCCCGAACCGGAGCAGAAGCTGCCGAAGACCTGCTCCTCAGACGGCGACAGGAGCGTGAGTCACTGTGTGTGTGTGCGTGTGTGTGTACGTGTGCAAATAGTCACCGTATTGGCACCATCTTGCCACAGTGCCTTAAACTTGCATTCTCTCTCTTGACCAGCAGGGGTCACTCATCAGGGTGCAAAAAGAAGTCTATGAGTAAATGACTCTGCTTCTGTCTTGATTTATTGACTTAGAAACATTGTACGCATGAGTACATAAAGCCAAGTATGTTAATGTACGGCGTCTCTGTGTCCAAGTATTGTCACTTCACAAAAAGCCAAGGTCGCTGAACTCAAGGCTTCACAACGTCAGTCCACAAAACAATGGGCGACACCTACTTCCACTTCCTATTCCTACTGTAGATTACCTGCTGCCAAATGAGACAATAACGTTTATTCAGATTGCAATAACTCCACAGTAGTTTCACCAAATTCTTCCATCAAGGCTTTATTTTGTTAGATTGATTGGAACATTTTTGGAACATTTTTGCATCTTTTTTTTCCTTTTTTCATAGGAAAGGGAATTAATAACAAAATGGCTTTCAAAAAGAAAACAAATCATAATTTGTCCTCTTGTGTCCATACAGATTTATTTAATTTATTCATTGTATGGTTTTTCACAGACTCATATTTGACATGTCAAATAAAGTGAAATAAAGCAGTACGAGAACCTTGATCTGTTTTAGATTCAACCCTTTAGTCTAGATGGACATTGAGTTCTGTCTTCCCTCCTCCGCCCTGCGGACTGCGTCTTACTACGTCGAACTGAACCGCGTCGTGTCTCTGCAGGAACCAATGGAGAAGTCAGGCTACCTGTTGAAGATGGTGAAGACCTGGAAGAAAACTTGGAAGAGACGCTGGTTTGTCCTCAAAGACGGAGAGTTACTGTACTACAACTCACCCGTGGGTCACACACACTTTTTCTTCATTGCCGATGCTTTATTATAATTACATCACTGGTGCATTCTTTTTTTAAATGTCTCCCATACATATATATTTTCGTATATTGTCCACGTCTCGCTATGGTACTGTTTTTACTGAGGTGCGAGTGTTCAGTTTACTTTGTCATCCTCCGACAGAGCGACGTGATCAGGAAGCCTCAGGGTCAGATCGAGGTCAACGCCACCAGCAGCATCGCCCGCGGAGACGGAAAACAAGTTCTCCAGGTATGTGTCACTTCTGTCCGTCCTCGAATACCGTCTCACAGAATTGCCCCGTCCTTCACCAACCTCTGGCCGGTGTTTCCTGTCACCGCGTTGCGCCGCAGGTCGTGACGGGGAAGCGCGTGTGCTACCTGAAGGCCGACTCGCCCAACCTGCTGGAGGAGTGGCTGCGGGTGCTGCAGAGCGTGCTCAGGCTGAAGGCCGCGAGTCCGCTCTTCACCCAGCCGGATATTCGCCCCGGCATGAAGGGACTGCTCATCAAGGTCCTTGCAAATGTCATCTCAAGATATAACTTTAAAAAAACAAACAAACAGTTCAGTGTTTCCCCTTGGTTTACATCTTTTTTTGTTTGGTTGTGGGGGGTGAGGCACGTGTGTGTTTGTGTGGCTTTAGTTTCTCCGTGTGTTCGCAGGTGAAGCACGGCTACTCCAAGCGGGTTTGGTGCGCTCTGATCGGCAAAACCTTGTACTATTTTCGCAGTCAAGAGGACAAGGTGAGGTTCAACGTTTGATCTTATGTTTCCAGGACGTGGGGACCGAACTGTGACTTTCATCAGAGAGAGAACCCATTCATTAAAAAAAGGCCTGCCTAACAGATCTTCTGGATATAATAACTTGCATTCAAAGTTATAAGGCACCAGTCTTGTGATGGTGGTTCTGCCTTGTGCCGTCTCTTTTTAATCGCCATCTTAAAAGCTGCCATGAAGAGGTTCTTCTCTTAAACACAAAATATCAAAGTAGAGTAACAAACATGATGAGGTACATCATAGCCCAGAATTTGGACTATAACTATGTGGCTATCTCCCCAAAACTGTACAATCAGAGCATAATCAAAATGAGTAAGAATGGTCTGAACTTACTGCCCCTGATTTCATTTTTATCCTTATGAACTTTTTGTTTTATTTCGCCTTCAAAATGTCTCTTGTGTCCCTTAATTGCAGAACTCTTCAGAGCTGAATGAGAATCTCTGAACAGTTTTATTTATTTTTTGCCTTGATTTTTACTGAAAAATGTTGCAAAGTCGTGGGCCTCCACGGCAACAGCACAATCATGGCTGGTGTCAAATAGTGAAGGATTCAACAGGAAGGAGCCTCACTTGAGAGGTGCAACGCTGAACGCTGTCCATGCGTGTGCTCTCAGTTCCCCCTGGGCCAGATTAAGCTGTGGGAGGCCCGGGTCGAGGAGGTGGACAGGACGAAGGACTCATGTGATGACCTGAAGGCGTGTGGGCGGGGCTTAGACGCGGCCCATTTCATCCTCGCCGTCCATCCACAGGAGCAAGGGCCCACCTACCTGCTCATCGAGTCCCGCCACGAAAAGGTCAGTTCGTTTTTTCTCTTTTTGTCTTATTTGCCATATTTCTGCACTGCACTTCCTCCATGTTCCAGGTTCTAACAACCGATGCAAAGATTTGCCTGACTTTAATCTTGAGCTGATCCGACCTCCTTGTGTTCTCTCGTGAGAATGTGAAAGTGTGCTGTATGTTTCTCTGTGCAGGAGTCGTGGCTCTACCATCTGTCTGTGGCAGCGGGCGCCGCAGTGAGCAAAGTCGGCACTGAGTTTGAACAACTGGTGGGGAAACTCTTCCAACTGGATGGAGATCCGGGTAAAGATTTTCTACAAATTCCTTTTCTTTTTGTTGGTGTCTTTGATCTTTGGGTTTCACTCACAGCCTAAAGAAGCCCAATTAAAACATCACAACGGAATACGTCATTTGGTGATGAAAGAAAACGGTTTTGTAACACGTAACACAGAGCAGTAAATAAATTACCTAAAATTTCTGATTAATAACTCCAAATAATATCCCACATTACTGACGTAGTATCTCAAAGACTAATGGATTAGTATCACTTAATAAGAATTCATTATTGTCATCGTGAACAAATCATGGAAATCATTTAGTCTTCTTTTCAATATAATACGCTTGGATCAATAGGTCCGGGTAAAAGAAATACCTCATATATTACAAGCAGTAACTTTTGTTTGTCCATAGTTACGCTACATTTCATACCACATGTATTTTTTAGGACCTCTTGAATTGGGCACATTGTAATACAACAATCTGCATGACATGTTTCCATCATGACCTTTAGCTAGCAGCCTTTCTCTCGCTCTCTCAGACTCTCAGATCTGGAGACACCCCATGTTGTGTTTCAGTAAGGAAGCCCTGTTGTCTCCTCTCACCACGCTGCCCTCACAAGCTCTGCAGACCGAGGCCGTTAAACTCTTTAAGGTACACGCACTTATACACAGTAGTGACAACAACTTTTTGACAACATTCCAAACGTGATATCTCCTCTTTTTAAACTCTCTGACCCTCCTCCCTCCTCAGACTTGTCAGCTTTTCGTCAACGTGGCCATCGACGCTCCGGCCATCGACTACCACGTCTCGCTGGCCCAGAGTGCCTTGCAGGTGGGCCTGGCCCACCCCGAGCTGCAGAACGAGTTCTTCTGCCAGCTCATCAAGCAGACCCAGAGAAGGCTGCCCGCAGGGCCATCCGGGTCCCCTGCAGGTCAGCGTTCTCACCAGACGGCGGCAGCAGCAGCTCGTGTTGTTTGCTGGAAAACACCGACGTATGAAGGGGCCGTTTAGAACGAGACACTCTCGCACACTACTGAGACACTTACACATGCATACAGTACATACTCTGTAAACCTATGCACGCGCATACATAAAACACTATACATACTCATCTCAGTTACAGCGGAAGGCGGAAGCAAAGAGGGCAGAGAACAGGCTGCTCGCTGAGGCTGATCGCCCGGTGCTGGAGGGGGTCAGACGGTCCCGTTAACTGGACCTCACAGCACCGACATCCTCGTGGAAAATTGTTTCCAAAGGCTGAATGTTGACAAACCGGCCGCAGAAATGTTGCTTAGACAACTAACTTCTCGTCTGAAAAAGTCATGAAATTACATTCTGTAATTTAAATATGGTGGTATTTATAAACTTACACAAGGACGGGAAAGTCTGGACCTAAAAGCATATTAAGGAAGGGCGTAAGATTGGCGCTTGTCGCTGCTCAAAACCTGCCCTGCTTCCGCCTTCCAGTGTAACTGAGATGCTTCTGTATGCTGGTGAGATTTCATGTATACACACTAGTGAGATGCTCTTACGTTATACATATATACGTTACATGTGTATATGACACAACAGTATATATGTATGCGCGTGTGTTTCAGATGAGTATGTGTAGTGTTTTCTGTACTGTATGTGTGTGCATAGGTTCACATGTATGTACATGTAAGAGTGTCTCAGTAGTGTGCGCGAGAGTGTCTCAATAGTTAAGTCCTAAACGTTCCCTCATGTGTCAATCACCAGGGTTTACTGAGAACATTTTTGCTTAAAAAAAACATAGGCAGGCTCTGTAGCTATAGGCAAACAGAAAGTCCAATACTCTCCTTTTGTCATGTGATCTCCCATAACCTATAACCAGATATACCAGTAACACCCACAGAGGGCAGAATTCAAAGCTGTATTTGTTTATGAAACCTGATTGACAACAGAATGAGTCACAAAACAGTCGGGTGGCTGCTTGGTAACCGTGTAGGTGAATGAAGCCACTGTCGGATCCACAGGATCCAAACCTTCCATTGTTCCACAGGGAACACAGTTCTTTCTTTATAGATCCTCTCTTATTTGTCACGGCTTGTTCTGACCTCTCTAGGGTTGGCAGTTTCTAGCCCTGTGTGTAGGACTGTTTCTGCCCCAGCATCCGTTCCTCTGGCTGCTCCAGGTTCACCTCAAACGACACGGAGACTCCAGGTGAGAAACCGACAGTGGCCCCTGAAACTTACCATGCAACATGACCTTTGCAAACACAAGTTAGAAGTAAAGCGAAAAAATATTTTAAAAAACACAATCTGGAAGTCTTTTAACTATACCGATTGGTTTCACTCGTAATTCCTGTTCTCATTATTTTCAGATTCACATTTTGTAACAGGATCTTGTTGCTTCCGGAGGGTTCCCCAAGCACAAGGAGGCCTGTTTGGGATTGTCAATGTCTTTATTATCTAATCTCTATACCCTATGCTCTGTCTTCTGTACCGTTGCTTCCTCAGGACGGAGGTGGGTAAATATGCCGTCTACTGCCAGCGCTCCTTGGAGCGGACCCAGCAGAAGGGCGAGAGGCAGGCCAGACCGTCCCGCATGGAGATCCTGTCGATCCTACTAAGGAATCCCTATCATCACTCCCTGCCATTTAGCGTCCCTGTTCACTTCCTCAACAACACCTACCAGGTAGGATTACACCGCTCTGTGGCTCCTTCGAAGCTGGTTCAGTTTGGTTCTTGCTGCCTCATTTAACACAGGAGCTTTATGTAACGCAAGTTTAACGGCGTGTGCTAAATGTGCATCCCATAATCGTGAGCCCATGCTTCAAGTTCCCCTTTCTACCTGTTCGCTCTGAGCGGAGGTTTCTCTTTAGGGAGTGTTTGTTTTTGTCCCTCCCTGTGTTGCTCTCGGTGTACACTTGCTGGAAGTGATGACATCACGGCCTGGTTTCAGCTCAGGGCTTCCTGTATATAAATGTGCCGTATGATTAAAACACAATAACAAACAAAAAACACCTACACGATCGTCATGAAAGGGCGGTATGGTGGCGTGGTCACGGCAAGAAGGTCCTGGGTCAGACACCACCTCGCAGCCTTTCTGTTAATTGGTGATTTAAATTGCGCGTTGATGTGTTATTGTGAGTGTGAATAGTTGGGGGTTTTTGTGTTAACCCTGCGATTGACTGGCGACCAGTTCAGGTTGTATCCGGTATCTCGTCAGATGTTAGGTGGGATCGACTCGCCCCCCCACCTCCCCGCGACCCTCTAAGAATAAGCGGTATAGAAGATGACATGTAAAAAACTGAAAGAGTAACTTAAATGTCACCTGCGTACCTATAGGTGGTGAGCTTCGATGCTTCGACCACGGTGGACGAGTTCCAGTGTCGTCTCAACCAGGACTCCGGCATAAGGAAGACGGGGTTATCCTGTTTCAGCTTGTACACCGATGATCCCACTGGACGAGAGCTGGAGCACTGCCTCCAAGGAGGCATCAAGGTCAAGATCTGTCCTTCTTTATGAGGTAGGCAGTGTTCAGACCCTTCTCTCGTCTTCAATCCATCATCTTCATACCGCCCCTGCAGATTTGTGACATCATCTCCAAATGGGAGCAAGCCTCTAAAGAGCAGCACACTGGGAAGTCTGAAAACACCAGGACGGTCCGCCTCACCTACAAGAACAGGTAGGGAAGCACCCGGCCCTTTGCCTCCCTCATGCCTCTTTGCCCCTTGTCTCAATGGCCTGTCTGTACCTTTCCATCCGCAGGCTTTACTTCTCTCTCCAGGTCAGGTGGGAGTCAGAGAGGGAGAGGTTGCTGCTGGCATACCAGACAAATGAGGCCATTGTCGCGGGACATTTCCCTGTCAACAAAGAGCTGGCTCTGGAGATGGCTGCCCTGCTGGCCCAGGTTTAGAAGTTACTTTATTGTTTGATAGACCAGACCCCACAGTAAAATAATACACCATGACACTTACTACCTCTGTGTTCAGGTGGAGTTTGGGGACTTTGAGCGTCCCTTCTCTGCCCCTGGACCAGCCCAGACCAAGTCCAACCAAACCCTGAAGCAGGTCCTGGACAGATTCTACCCTAAACATTACCGCAAGACCATGTCTGAGGAGCAGCTCAGGTACCGGACCACACAGAACACTCAGTCCACACACGTTGCCCACTTCCATGTGTGTGCATCTGTTTGTTTTTTTGTGATAATGTGTCGGTTAATTCGGTGACAGCATATTATGATGTTTTTAACGTTGTAAAATGTAGGTTTCATCAAAGCAATTTGCTCCCCTGCAGTTAAACCTCTTAATTTCCTAACATACCCCTGAACACAACGTATCTTTGATCGCTTCTACGTCACTCAGGCAACTGCTGCAGCGTCTCTCCGCCCGCTGGGCCTCCCTGAGGGGTCGAAGCTCCTCCGAGTGCGTAAGGATCTACCTCACCGTTGCAAGGAAGTGGCCTTTCTTTGGTGCCAAATTATTTGAAGTAGAAGTAAGTGTGTGTGTGTGTGTGTGTGTGTGTGTGTGTGTGTGTGTGTGAGACAGTAACCTGATGTGGTCATTAAGGTTATTTTTCAACAAGGGTGTTTCTAGCATTCAAAGAAGAGGGTCATGGTGAAATTTTAACACAAATATGAACTTTGACTTGACAGGAAATATCAATGCGAAGATTAGAGAGATGTCAATAGTTATTTCTTGTAATTCAAATTCGCTAAGCCTCACACTGGAGAGCTCCAGTAGCTAGCTATCTTAGTATTAACACAGCCCAGTACAATATCAGTAAACATAAATGTAAGCAGCTAACAATTGTTAACAACTTCCAGATAACCACATCCTGTAACTACCTGTACAATTTTACTCCCAGTTTAAGTTATATTAATCCTAGCTGTGAGAAAACCAGCGCAGCAGCCACACACATTGAGGATATATGGACATTGTAAGACCCCCAACCACACCACCAAAAATAAGGTAGTTCCTTCTTTGTTTTGAATTGATTGCATTTTAAACATACACTGTAAAACATTTTTTTGTTTGGTTTTAGTCATAAAATAAGTATATATCACTTTACTTTTCCAATAACATTTTGTAAACATATTTTGAGGTAAATTTAGGTTGGGGACAGTGCAAAACCTTTTAACTGGAAGTTTTTAAAACCCTTTTTTCTCTGTCTCTCTGATGCTGTGTGTGTCTCTCTGTCTCTTTGCTGAGCTCGTTCGCTTGTAACCTGAGCCGCTCTGGAGGGATGTGAAAATAAAGACATAGGCATAAAGTAAATAGCTCCTTTCTGCACACAAAATAGGAAGTGAGTCAAGTCAAGTCAAGTCATTTTATTTTGTATAGCCCAGAATCGCAAATTACAAATTTGCCTCAGAGGGCTTTACAGTCTGTACACATACGACATCCTCTGCCCCGAAACCCACCATCGGCACAGGAAAAACTCCCCAAAAAATGAAAAAACCCTTACAAGAGGGAAAAAAGGGAAGAAACCTTAGGGAGAACGTCAGAGGAGGGATCCCACTCCCGGGATGGACAGACTACAATGGATGCCATGTGTACAGAATGAACAATGTATAATACATGCAATTCATATGACAGAAATGATTCAAGTAATTGTGAGTAGTAAGCCAGGCGCACAGCAGGACCACTGCAGGGGCAACCACCATCAGATAGAACCACCATCACATAGAACCACCATCCATACAGAATCCTGTGGGGAGGGAGAGCACAGAGATTTTAGGAGAGGGTAATGTCGGTTTATGAGTAAAGTAATATGATTAATATCTAAAATAATGATGATGATGATGATGATGGCAGCAGCAGGCGTCAGCATGGCCACGGTAGGTGTCAGGACCAGGGTCCCGAAGGAACCACGATCTATGGAGACCTGATAGGGGCGAAAGCACAAAAAAAACTCCCGGAAAGAAGCTGAATTAGTCATGTGCATTAATAAAACTTGAATTATGGTAGAAAGAGAGCGTGAGAGAGGAGCTCTGTGTGTCCTAAGAATTCCCCCGGCATTCTAAGCCTATAGCAGCTTAACTAAGGGCTGGTCCGGACTAACCTGAGCCAGCCCTAACTATAGGCAGAATCAAAGAGGAACGTTTTAAGTTTTACTTTAAAAGAGCTGACCGAATCTGCCCCCCGGACTGAAAGTGGAACCTGGTTCCACAAGTGAGAAATGAGAAGTAATTATTGTGTCATTATTGCCTTTGCAGCACACACGCAGAAGAAAGAAAGAAAAAGGAAGCACTGCCCAATGTGTTTTTTTGAAACATAACATATGTCTGACGACCCCATTTTGATCCCCTTGTTCGGACCACACCCGTCTTTGGACACGACCTTCATTTTGATTGGCAGTGCTGTGATATCGCAGTGACACAATGACACAACAGGCAGGCAGCTACAAACATGCTAGGACAGGTGTCTCCAGGGCCGCATTCTATCACGATGGCTCACGCAAATTAGGGGGAGAACAACACCATAGTCGGGCGGTAATTTGCGCCTTACTCTCAGCCTCGACTAAATCTGTTCACGTTGTACTCGTGCAGGGGGGTTCCATTTATGTCTAACAGTGTTTGTTCTGCTTGTAAATAATTTAGTCCTAATAATACGCCATACAGCTCATTCACTTCACGTGTCCCCCATGCGGCGATGATCAGGGGCAGTGAGATTGTAATCTGAGTATGTTGTATTGACTCTGGATATACATATATCTTCACATTAACGTCATATTATAACATTTCTGATTTAACTTTATTGTCAAGTGCAGGTACACTGACTAGAAGTTCAAAGAAAGCAATATATTGAAAAAAGTATATATGTAAACGTGTAATTGGGGGCGTGGAGGAGGTTGGGGATGATGGAGACGGGGTTCAGGGTGGAGTTCGTTGACCACTGAGGGGAAGAAACTGTAGCGCCTCCGAGAGGGCAGGAGGTCAAACAGACTCTGGCTGGGGTGATGGTGTCCCTGATGATGCTGCGCGCCCTCCGCAGGCGGCGCTTGAGGTGGATGGACTCAATGTGAGCGAGTGAGGTGCCGCTGATGCGTTGGACAGTTTTAACCTCCGTCGGCACCAGTTTGCCGTCTGAGGCAGAGCAGTTCCCAAGCAATACATTTGATAAGGAATTGATCTCTCTCTCTCTCTCTCCCTGTTGTTTAGTCCATCACTTCCTCTCCGGAGCAAGGGGCACGCGTTTGGCTGGCCGTGCATGAAGATGGCGTCAGCGTTCTGGAGCACAGCTCTGTGGTAAGCATCTCTGGTGCTAAATGGTGGATGAACTCTTCCGACGACTAAAAGCGCTTTAACACGCCATGTCACCATTGACTGACAGGAGCTACAATACACAGTGCCACACGCACTAACTATAGCATTCACACACTGTAGTCACAGCTACAGGAGCAATGTTGAGGTTAAGTGTCTTGCCTGAGGACGCATCAACACGCAGGTTAGCAGAGCCTGGGATCGAATCCTCTGATTGGAGTCGCCCCAGTTAGACCTGGCCGTCATTTCCTCGGTCCAGCTACGGTACGGCTACTGAGAACGGAGCTGGTGTGGCCAGTACGGGCGAGGCAAACAGCCTGATACGTGGCGTTTGGACGCTAGCCACCGAGTACCCGTTCAATCAAACTCACTCGTGGCGCTCAAACACCCTGCATGTATTTAGTTCCCGCGTCGGGCTCCACCCTGCTCATGGTGTTTGTGCATCCGTGTGTATTTAGAAGCCGCTGGCGTCCCACTCGTACAGGAACCTGATGACGTTTGGGGGCTACAAGCAGTACTTCATGCTGCTTGTCGGTCAGAACACCAACGGCAGCAAAGAGAAACCCACAGAGAAACACCTGTTTGCAACCGACGCCTCCAAGGTGAGTGAGAGAAGAACCTCTTGTGTCCACCGTCCTTCCTCATGCTGGTTTGAAACGGTTTCGCTGGATCTGTTTTGCGTGAATTAAAGTTATAATATAGCACAACATTAAAAACACGTTTATCAGCTTTGTGCTTTCTTTTTTGTGCTATCAAATTTTGCATACAACCAGGCGGCAAACTGAGTTCTGCTGAATGAAGTGGAAGTGTCTTGATACTTGCGTTCTCTCTACTGACCAGCAGGGGGGGCAAATCATCCGGTTGCAGAAGGGTTAGTTTGATTGACCCGAATTCTCAATAAACCTTGATTCGTTCCCTCATGAAACATTGTAAACAAGCATTTTTGGTCTTGGAGTAAAATAGACCATGAAGCAAAGTCCATTTTAGTTGCGAGGGTTAGCCAGTAAGTAGCTATTTAGCTTGTTAGCTTGCAGATTAACATGAATCAAAAAATGGTCTTTTGCTCAGCAGGCTGGAGTCTCTCTAATGATACACCCTGAGAAGTTTTCAGAAGTGTGTGCATGGTTCCATTTTTGGGGTTATTAAGTAGAGGAAACCACAAAACGGCCCCTTCTCCACTGAGTCATGTCACAATACCCAGTTCGTAACACTGCAAATATCTAAATATTGCAGTACTGTCATTAGTGGATACGGACCACATACAGGATTTTCTTCATGTGCCAGTCTCTCATCCACTCTCTGTTGCATCAACAGATAAGAGAGATCACCCTGCTCGTCTCCAGTTACGTCAACAGTGCTCATCAGCAGAAGGCCGCCGCCCACCACCTCTCGGCCCCGGCCCTGATGGCGGCGCAGCCTGTCAGTCTGAAGAGCAAAGAGCTGAGGAGCAAATCCCCACCGCCGCTGGGACGTCCCGGCAAGACCCCCACGCTGCTGTGACGGCGTGGTGACTCAAACTGAGAAATCTTTGCCGAGCCGCCTTTCACATTTCAAGGACTCATGCACAGCGGCACTGCCCGATTCCATCGTCCCGCAGATCCTCTGGTCTCTAGTCAGATCCTGGAGATTTGTGTCTAACGGGCTGGGTTTACTTTTTGTATGTGCAATTGTTACTTCTCTTCCTTCTTGAAGTGATAAGCGGGCAGTGAACCACTCACAGTATTTGTTGTAAAATAAAGGATACGGAACGATGAAAGCAGGAGGAAAGACAAAGTGCGGTGAAAATGTTTGCATTGCGCAGGTCCTGCTTGACAAGGCCAGTCGTTAAGACGTAAGAGGACACAAGCGTGGACCCTGTGATCGGAGTTACTGAGTAGCCAGGAGAGCAGTTAAACCATGCAAATACCAGAAGCCTATGAGTTTTTAAAAGGAAACGTAGCGTGACACCGGCTGGAATATATTGTTTTAGAGGAACGTGGTAAGAGGATGTAGCGGGTATTTGTGGTCGGTGAAAATGTATATTGGTTGCTAGGGTTCCCTAAAATCGCGTGACACATTTAGAAAGGATCAGATACTAGAACAGGCCTTTGTTACTCTTTTTACGTAACTTTCTTGAAATGGATTTCCTCTTCCAGTAGTCTCCATACAGATGTTATGTCATGAATTTTAAACCGTTAAATGCACTGGTTTCAGTTTAAAAATAAAATGGAGACCTGCAACGGGTGCTTTACACACCTCATTCCTGCAGTCTGAGTAGAGGGGGTTGGGTGGGGCAGACAGCCGATACCCAACCTGCCTGAACTAGTTAGACACGCTTTTGTCCCTGTGGAGATGGGTTGGGGGGGGGGGGCACTGGGTGAGGCCAGACAAATGATTAACCGCTCGCTTCACCGAAATCCTAGAAATGGAGAATTCACAGGAAGTCAAAGCTATCTGTAACCACATGCTAAGACAGCAGTTTCCAGTTGGTTGCGAACGAGAAATCAATACCAGGATAATGACTCCATAAAAACAGGACTGCCACACCCACAGAAACCTGCCCCAGGTAAACAACCAGAGCGGCCATCTTGTGAAAGACAAAAAGGACGCTCCCTCTTATTGGCTGTACTTTTCCCTCAGAGCAAACAAACAATCTGCACCACACCAGTGTCTTTAAAAAGATTTTATTACAAAAGACAAGTCAAACCAAAACACATTAGTAGGAAACTGTACAATCTAAGAAGATTTCAGACTATTCAGCATATTCTAACATTAAAATGCTGCATTGTGACTAGCATGTTTTAAAGGTTATGTTCTTTATGGCATGAGGGGCGTTGCATCAACACTTTAGTCTATAAATTAATGGTGTACCAGCTGTGACAGGAAGAAAAAAAAATCAATCTGTATTTCTCAAGTAAAAAGGGTAAAAAGAAAATTGGCACAATCCCACTGCTAAAAAAAAAAAAAAAAAAAAAAAAGTTTTCCAAAATATACAAGCTGATTCTCCATAGATCCCCACTGCAACGAAGACTTTACATGGGATCCATTTCCCTTTGCTGAAGAGATGAAAAACAAAAAAGGGGGTTAAGAACATTCACTGTACAAAAAATAACAAGTTCAGTCATTGGAAGTTCAGCTCACCTGGGCTTTGTTGTACTTCTGATTCTGTCTCTTTCTGGCAAAGAACTGCACAAAAAGATAAAAATAAATAAGCAAACATACAATTTTACAAAAACTGAATAAATGGAACGAGTGAAGATTAAAATAAAACTCACCAGAACCAGCAGGCCGGCGACCACGGCCAGCACCACCACCACAATGACTGCGATGATGCCGGCCGACAGGTTCTTCATGGTGAAGGTGGGTGGCTCCTCGTCCACGTAGTACACCAGGATATTCTCCATCTCCAGTGTCTGGCCACCGATCACAGGCGCAAACTTGTTCGGGTTCTTGAACAAGGGAGACACCTTCACCTGTGGGCGAGCAACAAGGAGTCAGTACAAAGGGGGGGGACTCGCTTCAGGCCACATGTAGAAATATGAGGAAGGAAACCTACGTCTTTCTCCATGTAGTAGGCCATATTGGCCAGTTCAGTCTGGCGTTCTCCCTCCGCCTTCTTCACGTCCACCACGATCAGGCGGGAATCTGCGTCGTACTGCGCAAAAACAGACGGGACGCCTAGTTAGTCGGGTACCTTCTTAAGGCCAGGGTGGCAATGACTGATACAAAGGCACGTTTTCAAAACTCACCTCAACATTATCCACCAGCTTCCTGTCAAAGTTGGTGTAACGTCTATTGATGGCATCGGCGATGGCACTGCATAAGGGAAAACACAAATTTAGGAGTTGCAATGGAGGGATATTAAAACACTGATGTCTACGACGTGGTTTCATTTGCATTTGATTAAAATGGAGTCCGTTGAATGTACTCACTCCTTCAGCTCGGCGGCCTTTAATGGAGTAGTCAACGCTTTGTGGGTGAGCTGCAGACGGAGCCAGCTGAAAACGAGAGAAATGGTCAACATTTAGCAGCCAAACAGACACCGTTCACTAGGGGTGGGAATCTCTTGGCACCTCACAATTTGATTCAGAGGTCAACGATTCGACTCTAAACAAATTATCGATTCTAAAATTGATAAAATTATTATCGATGCATCTCGATTTTCTAAAATCTGAGTTTGCTACGCTGAGGTTGCTAATCACTCCCTACTTTATTTGATAATTAAAGAAAATCAACAGATGAATAACCTTCTTCTAATTTTTTATAAGAGAAAAAAAAAATGATTTTCTATCAACAATGCAGCTTGCATTTCAACACAATATGGAAGTAGCCTATGTAAAAAAAAAAAATACTACGATTACCGAAGGGGGGCGTTTTATCTCATAATTTCGAAAATCAGCGAGTGCGTAGAATACACCTTTGAGCGCGAGCAGAGATTAACCTCTCGAGCGAGCAAATATCTCACGCGAGACACTTTTTTTTTTTTCCGATTATTAACTTTTCTGAATCGAGACCGAATCGTTCTAGAGAAATCGAAAAATCGTTTTTTTTACATTTCATTTTTCATCGTTTTTTTCATTTTGGTTTTTTTTCCCCCACCCCTACCGTTCACCCACACCGATTGAGCGCAACACTCACTGAGTCTCCACCAGCTTCTCGCACACGAGAGTCTTGTCTCCCTTGTCGGTACGACGGACGCCGGCGCTGTTGACGCACCAGCACTCCTCGGTGTTGTTGCACTGCCTGGCTTTGAACTTGCCGTCACTCTGGCATTCCGGGTCGTAGATGCCGTCGTTGTCCACAAAGGCCGACTCCACCGGCTTCCCGCCGGTACGTGTGTCGAGGCCCTTCTTGGCTCGGTACATCTCGGCCTTCATCAACCAGCACTTGGGGATCACTGGGGGACAAAAAGTGCAAAATAGTGAGCAAACAAATAAAAAGAAATAAAAAGGCTCAATCACAACATTTTACTTACGTGACGTGCAGTTCAGTGGTTGTCTATTGTTGTCGCCGGTCAGAATGTTACAAGCGCATGGAGCATCATCACAGGTGGCCCACTTCATTGTTTCACATGAACCTAAGAAGAAAGAAAATAGAGACATTAGACAAGATTCACACCATCAAACATCAAAAGACCACTCATGTGTCAAACACCTTGGGAAAAGCTATTTCATTGCCACTACCCTGCGATACACATTACGCAACATAAAAGGAAAGATCCAGAATACACGGCGGGCGCAGTCTAAGGATTTCCTGTATTGTGGCTCATTCAGCGCTCTGAGCGGAGGGAGGCGACGCAGCAGGTAGAGCAGCAGGTTTACACCTGGGCGTTGGTTCCTCCCAACCCCCACTCAACGAAACCACCTGCACCCCCCCCCCCTCCTTTCCCCGCAAACCAACCACTTTAGAAGAGCAAACGTCATACTTAGAGTGAATAATAGGAGTGAGAAACACGACATCAAAAAGGCAACATTTAAACACTTTTATTCTAAAGACAAAAAAAAAAAAAAAAAAAAAAAAAAAAAAAAAGTAAAAAAAGTGCGACGAAAGCGCACTTCAAGGGAACGGGAACGAGCACACAAAGACATCACGGGGGCGCTTTGTCCACACTGCGTTTAAAGGAGTTTAATAAAAGTATTAAACCCGAACAAAAATTAAAATAAAAAAAAGCTACTTACAAGATTGGGCTGAGGCTCCGGCCGCGAAGGCAACGAGGACGAGAACAATCCACATTTTCATGATGAAATGGATCAAAAAACCGGAAAAGACCAGGAAAAGCTTTCCGTCCCTCCTTCGTCCGCCGAGGTCAAAGATGGAGCGCAGAATGGTGTTGGGGGGGAAAACAAGGCTTCCTTCTCTGGTCCCTGCAGGTGTGTCTCGGTTCAACCTGTTAGCTCGAGCGAGGCTGCGCGCGCACAAAGACAAACGACTAAAACCTGGAATTGATCGAGCTGCTTGTTGATTGTCCCTCTAGAGGAGTGTTGTCCAACTGACACAAGAGCTCTTGACAAGTACATTTATAACACAACTACTCTATTGACGTCACACCTGTTTGCATCTACTCAGGGGTGGGCGGGGTTTGCTCGCGAAGCGCACCTTTTCACCGGTGTGACCATATTTGGTCTCTCTCGCTCTCTCTCTCTCTCGCTCTCTCTGTTAACATATTTTATTCAGTTTCAGTTTACAATCCTTATCTTTAGTGAGTGAGGCTTGAAGTGGCCTTTATACTTTATACAATATTCTTGGATGTTAATATTGCATCTTTTATGTAAAGGTTTTAGTTGTTTCATTGTAACGAGCCTGGAGGATTATTATGTGTAAATCACTTGAGGTCGCTTACACCAAATAGTTGTACACTAGCCTTTTAGATTTTTATTAATTTATCCACATTATGTTATATTGTAGCATTACAATATCTCTGTGTGATACTTTGTTGTCACTTTGCGGTTTCGCCATGTCTGACTCATTCCCTCAGCTATTTACACATCATATAATGTTGGGCTACACACTAAACATTTGGCAGTGTCCAGAGTTGTGTGTCCACATTGTGTATATCCTACATCCAAATGCACAGCATATAAGCAGTGCTGGTAAATATGTATCTCATTCAAATCTAGTGACCCGATGACATCATCAACTGCCTAGGCCATGATATTACCTGACAGAAACCAGAGGCTTGGGAAAACATCTTCCAGGTGTTGTGAGTCACGCTCTGTTGGATGACCCGAGTGAGTCACGGTCTCGGCCTGTGGAGATACTCCGAAGCAGTGCCCCAAATGTTGTCTATCCTCATTCATGATGTCTGTAGGTTGTTGTTTGTTTGTTTATGTACTGTAGCTCTAATTCATATTTCACCTAACCTCTCAAAGACCGAAGAGGCTATGTATGTAAAATAGGAGGCCCCATGCTCTGGAGGGAGACCTTGCCAAACCGGTTGTAATACGAAACCCTGACTGTGGTTGATGAAGAGGATTAAAAGTAGCTTAACACAAAACAGAGTCGTTTTAACAAGTGTGCATCAAGCATCAAAATTACAATGCAAATGAACGGGACACGGTACAAACATAAGCACCTATAGACTTTTTGTTTGAAAGAATACTAGTCAAAAGCAGCTGTAACTAATAGAGTCAATGATTGCTGTGTTGCGGAGGCCTGGTCGTGTGTGTGTGTGTGTGTGTGTGTGTGTGTGAATGGAATGAAGCCTTCACTGATGTGAACGAGTGACACCTGTGGTTCAAGAGTTGTACAAACTAACAAGACCCAATTCAATATTTTGGATGTAATGGACAAAGTGACATCTTTGTAAAGTATACCGGATTTTGTCACTGTTCTAAACTCAAAAAATAAATGTTTTTTAACAAGCCATTCTGGAATTAAATAATCTAATTGTTTTGGCATTATGTGTTGATCATAGAGGCATTCACAAAAAATTGAGCTGACACACAGCTAGTAGTTGATATATGAATGTTAATAAAGTATTTATTTACCCCTGAACAGTGGCCCCATTAGCTGTTAGTGAACTGTTTCAACATCTACCACACTGAAAAAAATGATGTGTTGAATTTACTTAATTTTTTTAGGTAAGTAAATGCACAAAATAAATGTATCTAAATCCAGACATATTTTTTAAGTAAATTGTACTCATTATTTTCAACTAATTTCAGCCTACTTTTATTTATAATTTCTGCTCAACTGTTTTGAGTAGAGTTAACTCAAATTTTTTAATAAATTCCAACTAAACCCATGATAAGTTTAATCAAATGAATTAGGTAACTGTAACTATTCTTTTTATTTACATTCTAATCAATTTATTGTTTAAATTATACATACTAAAATTAAGTTTCATCAAATGAAATGCCATTAGTCAATATCAGTGTATTTTATTCAAAAAAAGCAAAGGGCATATTATAATACAACTTACATAATAATCTAAACAAAAGAAAGAACATTCTTTTCCACAACTGGATGTATATATACACAGACATTACCTATACATTACATACACATTACACACACATATATATATATACATTAAATGTTTATATGTACATTACATATATATAAACCAGTTGCTTTAAAGCTAGAAGCCCCTCAACACAATCCAACAGACGGAGCAACAAATAAACGACACTATCAAAATCTTGTGCTACCTCTTATTCATTTTTCTTTAGATGGATATGTTCTTCTATTTTGTATGTTCTATAAATGTGTTGTATTTATTATCTTCAGTGCTTCAATGAGGTGTTGCAGACTCTTCAGGAGGCTTTAAAATCAAAAAGATCCAACAGAGCTGTGTGTGTGTGTACTAGAGTACCAGTCATAATATATATATGTGTATATATAAAATTAGAAAAAAAATAAACAAACAAATCTCACATGCTCAACTAAGGCACAAAAGTTGGTGTATTATAAAAAAAAAAAGGGACCAAGTGCATTGGGAGCAGACTTATTCGTCAGCGAATAAATCAAGACATAATGAAACATGTGACTTAAACCTCCAGAAACTTTTACTCTCCGATACTAGCGGAATATGAAAATAGCAAATCTGTGTAGAGCCAGAACGAGACTAACTGTCACATCAATAAATGGAACAAACATCTTTTCAGTGTGCCATATATATCGTTTACCCGGGTTTGACTGGTGCTTTTTAATTACGTCGACTCTTTTCTTCTGCAATGCAATGAGACCAGTTCACAAGAGTGGCTGAAGATTTCCTCTCTTTGGGGTAAGCCATGTTCAGAGCGTAGATGACTCCCAGCATCATTGCACAAGCGCGGGCCACAGATCCACAGTTGTCGAGAATGATCACTCCTTCAACGAAAATTCCAATGTCATCACAATGTCGCATTTCTCCACCCTCCTTGTTGATGACATATATACCCATGGTATGCTTTTGCAGGTCTCTCAGGATGTCATTTCCTTCAATGTCCTGTATGTATAAAGAGAATAGGAGAAAAGAACACGATTCATGAAATGTATTTAATTTCAATGACGTATACTTTACTGTATGAACATTGCCACCATACATAATAATCTCTTAGATGAATCTGATCCCATTTTATATGTATTTAAATAAAACTATACATCTGTGAGGTGTTATTAAAGATGTACATAGGAACGACGATACTGTGCAGCAAGTTGTTAATTTTATATGAATATTCTCAACCGTCTGTCAATGATAACATGAACCTCTGAAAACGTATGTGGGTGACATTAGGATCTTAAAACATAACATGTGACAGGCAAATCAATCCCAATGACTTACTATATACTCCCGAACGAGCTGTCCCTCGTCCTCACCCAGGTAGATGCAAAGAGCCTTTAGGATAGCTGTCCTTTTCAGATTGACATCACTTGTCTCCTGTGTTAAAGAATTACAATTATTAAATAATAATAAGAAATACATAAATAAGTACAACAATTTCAATAAACTGAACAATATTTATAAAATGTAATAACCTAAATGTACAATATAACTTAATGTTTTCATCATCACATATATACATGATATTTTACATGTCATAATGATTGGTGTACATATTTACTTCTTGCAAAATCTCCAGATGTTTAGGTAGTTTCTGGCCAGCAACTCCTCCCTTCATCTGGAAGATGGATGTCAATTGGGCTACATGGCTGTCCAACTGTGCCATGAAGGTAGATTCCAGTGGGATGGCTGTAATGCGTTGGAATTCAGCATGTATCTTATCAAAGAACAAAAAGACAAAATACAGAGTATTGGTGCAATATTCTGTTGTACAAAGACAAGAGGCACATTGGGAAAATAGCTAGCATGTGCTTACCTCATCGATATGGAAAAGTGCAGGCCAATCAGGATATACACACTTAATATGAAGGCCACGTCCAAAATGACTATGTTTTAGTTTGTAATGTTTAAGAATCTCTGATCGCCTAGACACTTCAGCGCCACAGTCTTTACACTGCCACATAAACTAGACAAACAACAAAGAGAGAAGAAAAAACAATAATTAGTGATGATGTTTATACAGTCACCCGTGGTACTTAAAACTCCTGCACTGTAGAGCTAACAAAAGATGAGTAATTAATTTAACTCATTGTTTGTCCCAGGAAATGTAATATTAAGCTGACTAAAGAGGACCAAAATTATTTGCACAAAAGTTGTTGAGTGCCTACATATGATCAGTGGCATAACTGCCCTATAGAGAGCAAAAATACCACAACGTTACAGAATATTTATCCTGAGCAGTACTGCTGGGATCAGCATACCTGTGAAGAGTTTGTTTGTTAAATGTACTTACCAAAACTTTATGAGGTCCCCAAAGAGTTCCACATCACACCAACATCAGATAGAAAAAACTGCAAAAAAATACATATATACCTGAAAATACAATTCAGGTATTTATTTTAGGAAAAATAAGTAATGTTCAATAATCATTACTGACTTGGGTTAAGATAATGACTCAAATTAGATCCCAACAAACACATTTTGTATTTAAATAAACCCTCATATTAGAAATGAGCAACAAATTGCAGAAAGGTTTCTTAAACATTAATTATTCATATATAATTTTTTTTATTCAAAAAGAATATATATATATATATGATTAGTATCAATTCTCAATTATTAACAGACAAAATACTGTGGGTAGGCTACAATAGTTAGTTAATTTCTAATGAAACCAGAGCTGAAAACAAAGCTAAACTATTTTGGCACGGCAGGCAACGCCAATATTATCCTACCCATTTAGTTTTTGGCCAACAACTAAAAAGTATTTTTTACCGGACAGTGGTCATGAATCGACCTTGCTTGTCCTCCTCTGTTATCTACAGAGCAGCTGCAGCTTACATTTTCCCCGCATTGAAGCGCATTTCCTCCGTGCTCTCAGAGCTACCTACATGTTTAAGCTAACGCTAGCTCATTAGTGTATAGCCGAGAAAAGGCACCACAAAGGGAAAAGATACCACTGTAAAGAGTTGAGCAGAGCCGCGGGCGACTCACGTAATGCCCGTTAACATTAACCCATTTGGCGCCAGAGAGCAGCAAGCGCACCTTTATCAATAGGATTTCAGTTATTGTTCCTCCTAATATTACCGCACTGATAGATTCAAGTTAAAAATACATTTAAAGTGGGTCCGTTAAACCTTTCTACATGCCGAGAAAGCCGGGAAGGTGAAGCTTCAAGCTATTAACGTTAGCTAACATTAGCTATCAGCTAGCGTTAGCTAGTCAATTGACATTGGTTAGGTTCGACTTTTAGTGGCCACAAACTCACGAGAAAGTCCAACAAGAAAATCATTTGATGCATCACGCATTTATATTGATATCATCCGCACCAGTTAGATAATTATTTTCACTTAAAATGAGTCTACTAATGCTAACCTAGCCTTAATGATGTGGGCAACATTAAGCTAACGTTAGCAGCTATAGCCTCAGTTAACATTTTATTAACACACAGCAGACAGCCAACTACTTTTCTTGGTGGCAACTAAATCCGGTTAAAGTGAAAATATAATACAGCCATGAATTTAAGATGTTTACTGACTGAAAACGTAGAGCCTTGGATATCCAGACAGCCAGGAGATATAGCAAATCTTTAAAAGTGAAAAAGATTCCCGCGTCCTCCAGGGGCGGTTTGTGGTCGCACATGCGCAGATGTGGAAGTTGAATGTGGTTGTAAAATGTACACATTTTTTTTATGTAACTTTTAAATGAAGGAAATAAGCTTTTTCTAAACCATGGAAGAATGTGTTAAGATTAATTAAAAAAGATAAGTAGGATTCAATAACACGTTCAAATCAGTGAAATAACCTTGAATAAATCAAGTAATATTTAAAAGGGGTCCGAATCATTTTTTTCAGTGTAGTATTTAGTAATAACATTGGTTCACAGTGCTAAGGTCAGGGTGTCCTGTTAGGTGCTGTTTACATGCATGGGCTCATTCCCTCTAATGTTCTGTTTTTTTCTTCTGAAGTAGAAGACCTCAGGTCAAGCTGCCCTCCTCCTTGGTCCAGCGAGAGGGCTTTGAAAGCCAGACACAGAAGAGGCAATCATCCATCTATACCTGAAATTAGCTGCTGTCTTCATTTAATGCACCGCTGAGGTTTCATTGATCAGTGCAGACTGGCATGAGCCCAAGTCCCAAGAGCTACAAGTCCATCTCCTATTTCCCATAACTGTGGAACCATCTTCAATAATAAGGACCAAAGAGCATTGTGATCATTAATATGTATAAGTGGTTTAGCAATAGTGTTTAAAATGTAAAAGATGGAGTAATATTCAAGGTTGCCAGGTCGGAGAGGGATCAGTACCGCACAAGCGTGGCGCTTTAATCAAGTGGGTGTTTGGAAGAAGCTCGCTGAGGATTTCGTGAGAGGTTTAAAGGGAACCATTGACCAAAATCCTTTCTTCACTCCCCTTTTCGGCCGTGCGTTGAATCCCAAAAAAACCCCCACAATGCCAGTTACATTGTCTCACACGTAAGCTCACGTAGTGTCACATTTCTTAACCCGATGACACTTCGCATACAACTATAATAACAGGACTCACACAAAGTCATCATTCAAAAGGAAGGACGCTCCCACATTTAGAAGCTAAAGCAAATGTGCTGCCCGTCCTCCCTTCCGTCCTTTCCTCCCTCACACAAACATGGGCCCTCGTCTGGTCTCCTTAAAAGACTTTTAAGTTCGAAGGAGGCGTGTTTCCGTCCACACGTTGAAGGCTTTTTTAGAAGCCGTATGGCTGGATGTGGCTTTTTGCAGCGTTATGGAAAGTAATGGCCTTTGTCTGAAATGTCCGCTGAAGCTTCTACTCCTAAGAGACGAAAACCAGCAGCTCCTTCTCTAAAAGGCGGGACGGATTTCTATATTTTATTTACAGCTGCACAGCTTTTCATTTGCATTTTCTGCCCTAATTTGTGAAACCTTTGAATGGCAACCGTCTAATGAGAAGCTGGTGAAGCACATCCTTGACTGTATAAAGGCAGACGTGAGTGACTTTAATCTGGAGTGAGAATCTGATCTGTACTGTGCACAGATGTTTGCTTATGATGCACATGTTGTTTTATTCCTTCTGATGTGCTGCAGCTCTGCAGTAACGTACATTTCTTTTTTATAACTATAGACTGTCATTCTTGTTTTGAGGTGTTATGTAAATCAAACTGCATGTCTGATGCTTTATGCTTTATTCTCTTTTAAACGTCATGAAAGGGTCGATTGTCCGTTTGATTTATTCGGACTTGCGGAACTCCACTGATTTTACACATCGAAGTCATTTACCAGGGTGCAGTGAAGTACTAGTAACGTTTATATGAGAAGCCTTTAGTCTCTCCAATAACAGTGTTTCATGCGTGGAATTCAAAGTTCTCCACGTTCCTCCAGTCCTTGTGGGGCGGATAACGGGTGTGACCTCAACAGCAGCAGCCGAGGACGAAGACGACGGGTTCCAGGTCCACGCGACACAAGCATACGCTCAGCGTTTAGCCGTAATGAAACAAGCACCAACGTCAGGCCTCGAGCGCTGGAAGCATCTCCAGAGGTTTCTTCAGCAGAAAACACGCGTTGCGACGTCAGACAAACAGTAACTCAATATGTCAGGTAGACCTCGTCCTTTAATTATTCGCCATTAAGTCATTTTATCTGGATTTGGAGCTGGAAAAAAAGGTTTTACAACAACTGAACATTAAGGAAAACACAGCAGCACAGCAGTTCTAATTTATTTTACAATAGATTTTGGGAAAAAGGAAATGCGGAGAAGTGTAGAAAAGTTTGGGTTGAACGTCTTAGAATTCACTTCAAGTTGTGACCTTTATACAACTCTTTTAGGTCCTCGCCAAGACTGCTTTAAAAAAAAAACGCCTCCCCGCCCAGAGAGAAAGCCAATGACGTCTGCAAAGTGAGCCTAGAGATATTTAAATGATTTCATTGCAAACACATGTCGGCTAAGCACGTTTGACTGACACACACACACACAATTTCATTAAAACAGGAAATCTTTACAGGGTCCGAGTGCTGCAGCTCGTCCCCATCGGGATGTAGCAGATGTCCACGAGCATCAGCTACATCCCCACGCCGGACGCGTGTCCCGCTCGCACTACGTCTCTACACAACGACATCCTGACACGCGGGAGGAAAAGGGAGTCCAGAACCGGCTCGGCTGCTTTTCCCCGGGCCGCCGCTACGGAGCGGCGAGCGAGTCCATGAAGGCGTCGAAGTCGTCCGGGTGGCACCGCATGTACTCGCTGATCTTCCTCTTGATCTGTTTGGGCGTGTCCTGGTAGTAGTTCTTCTCGTCCTGGGCCATCGCCTGCAGGGAGAACAGACAACACGGCTGCTCATTTGCTTCCAGCTGCATATATTGTCTTAGACCTTTTCGGTGGCGAGAAACTTCTTAGAAGAATTAGAGGACAACAATGACGCCCCAGTGAGGTTTCCAATGGTCATTACATACCAGCAGGATTCAAATATCAGTACGGATCAATATATCGGCTTTGTTTAATGGATCGCAGCGCAGAAAGACAGACCAGAAGATCAGTTATCTGACCGATATAATCCAAACAACTCCAGAGCATAAATAAAGTCCAGGTGTGAAAGTCATGCTTTTAAAAACAAACAAAATATTCTGCATCCATATTGTCTGGCGTTTCAAAAACAAGATGTCACTGCGATCAGAAAACTATTTGCGTTTTATTCATTAAGGGTTTTTTTTGTTCATTAAATCCAATAAATCTTTTCATGAGCAACAGGTAAAACAATGAGATATTTCCCTCTAAACTAAAGCGGTGCCTCACTCTGCCTGTCAGACTTTTAAAAGGGGTGGAAACCTTTTTATTGTAGGATATTTTGTAGCCCAGAGAACCACGTGCACGCAATTCCCTCCGTTATGGACTGAGTGGGACTTTAAAGCGAATGTTGAAACGCCGTCTGAACGAGGCACTTCTCCGAGGAAGGACCAGAAGCCTCCTTCGGGTCCGGCTGCTGCTCTCACCTTGAAGTCGTCGTTGTGCTCTCGGATCATGTACTGAGCGTACTCGATCAGATCAGAGGACAGCGTCTTGCAGTCTCTCTCTGGAACGTTGGCCTCTTTCTGCAACTCTGCAGCCACAAAAACATTTGCGTTGTGAAACAAGAAGAATCTTGTTTGCATTTAACAGTCAATATTTTTCTCCTATTTTTCCTTTTAGTTTTCTTCCAAATGGTATAAAAATGCATGTTAAAACTCAAAGTGAAAATACGCAAATCATCGGTTTGTCTCTTGTGTTGAAAGCACAGTTTTGTGTTGAAACTGTTACAGGCGGAATGAAAGTCATTCAGCGCTTTGCTGCTGAAGGCCGTCTCCTGTGAGCGCCCACGCCACCAAGCCCGATAACAAAGAAACGCTGACGGTGAAGCTCTGCACGCATTTGAATCGCTCCAAATCGGGGAAATATGAACACGCACGTTCAATCTCAAATAGAAACCAGCAAAACAAAATGAAGGCGCACATTACTTTCCATCAGGACTTACGGTTGAGTACGTAGGGCTTGGTCACGATGCCGGTGGGGGCTTTCGTTGGTTTATCCGGGCCGAGGAGCTAGACGTGTAAATGAAAACACATCATGAAGGAAACAATGGACGTCACGGCTTAACTGAAGGCAACAAGCATCCTTCTCCACAGAATCATTCATTACACATGAAGGGGGGGGGGGGGCGGTATAATTTGAGGGTCTCTCAGTCTCAACTAAATAAAAAGCACAACGTTACCTGTGGTTTTATTGATCTTTCTGCATAATGTTTAATCCTGATAAGACTTTCTTTTCCAAAGGAAAAGCTACAGAACACGAGTTTTGTGTTTTTTAAAAATTGAACCTGCTGGATACATTTCTTCAATATTATTTAAACAACAGATTTATTTTACAAACCAGTGCGTAGTTAAGTACAACTGGACGTTTTGCGAGGACACAGAACAGTGGATCATTACAACCGTCACTGGACTGGGAAACAGATTTCTGGTGATGCTGCTCAGCGTCTTTGTCTGGACAGGAGACACCCAAGTATCGCTCTATTAAAGTCTGCTTGCCTGTGTTGCGCCGTTTAAGAGGAACCACGTGAGCAAAATAAAAGAACAACAGCAACAAGATGAATAAAACCCCAGGGAAGCTACAACAGAACCACAGCAGGTACTTACGCTGCTTTTCTTTATTGGCACCGTGCGGTTTGGATCAAAAGCCAGACCCATCTCCTGCAGGTTCTTGGCAGTGGACTTTTTGTTGTCCCACGCATTTCGAATCTGTGAACTGAGTGAGAGGACAAGTCAGACGCACAATGTCGTAAAAGAGTACACACTCAACCGTCCTTCTGCAGGATAAAGCCAAAGGAAATGTGAAAAACAAGTTACGTTTTAACGCCGTAAACATGGGACTGAAAGAAAGGCTCAGGCTCTGTGATTGTAGATCTAAATTTATTGGTTTAACAAAAAAAGTTTCATATAATGAGAACTATCAACTTTTTCCAGGAAAGGTTTTTTTTGTTTCCATTTAACTCTTGGTATATTCAATATGACTAAAAACAACAACACTGCACAGTACAGAACTGTGATAATATGTATCATACGTGTAATGTGTAGCATACGATAATACATGAATATGCGTCATCAAATCTCCCTAAAATATCCGTCAGGAATTCAATGGAGACATTTAGGGCAGTCGTCATGGAATAATAATTGTATGTTGTTTTTACACTTATACGGGCTGAATGATTAATCCATTGAAAGAAAAACGGATCCATATTCAATTAATTGTTAGCTGTAGTACACGCTCATGTGTCTGAAATTGAATTATACAACATTGTTCGAAAAATCAGCATTTAAGCATTCAAAAACACGTTCATTATCATTGTAGTAAGTATTTGCAATCAAGACATTTAAATATTAACGGATATATGTATTTCTCCTTGGCATCATCATGCTCGCTGTTAGCCAACATTAGCTAACATGCTAACGTGTAGCTGCTCGCTTACTTTTCTATCCTGGGGTTGTATTTCTTGTTGGACCGTTTCCTCATCTTCTTCCGGTCCTGGTTGTAGTCGAACTTTTTTCTCTTCGATGACTTCTTGGCTTTCGGCATGTTGGTGAATTGTTTCTGTTTTTACAGAACGCGCTTGAGGTTTGTTGGTAATATAAGGGAAAAGGCAACGTGCTGAAACCGGATGTAAGTTTGTTGTGTTCCGGCCATGTGACAGGAAGTCCCCTTTGCACTGATCAGGATCCTTCTCATTGAATCTGGGCATTAAACGCAAATGAGCGCCAACATCGAACACAACCCGCACGGACTCAGAACAGACACTGAAAGCTTAGTCACAAATTAAACTCAATTTATACAGCTGCGTGTCTAGTTTCATTTTGTTCTGCCGAATATTTTCTATCTGAATTTTCTGCTTCGTTTCCACGTTCAGCCGGATTCTCTCCTGTTGAAATTGCAATATCAACAGCTCCTTCTGCTGCTCAAAAGTCAGCCCCGACGTGGGTGCAGACACAGATGTTGCCACAGCTGCCACGATACCTCAAAACGCCACTCTCCACTAAAGAGGATGTGGCGATGATAGGGTGTAAAAGGGAAATTAAGAAAACAACGCCACCCGGGGAATTTCACCCCGAGAAATAATCTGGTTGAACAGGTTTACTCATTGAGGCAAGAGACGGTTTAGAAAAATACAGCTTTATTTAAAAAGAAAAATCAATTAAAGGGTTGGAGCCGAGTGGATGGACAAGGCTAGGTGTAAGGTGGGGGAGAAAAAAAAAGACAAAAACAAATGAGTGGAGAGTTATAATAAAAGGAAAACAAATAAACAAAATTACAATAAGACAAACATCGATTCAACAATGCACAGGGACACAGCCCTGGTTAAAACACAGGCGTGATAAATGTTTAAAGGAGCTGATCTGGCGCACGGTATGAACCGGGGACGCCGCGGAGACGAAGAAAACCGCAGCGACCCCAATCCGCTCATCACAGCAACTCCTAATTACAGGAGAATCCCGTTAAGCCTAGTTTATGCTTCTGCGTTTTCAGAGCGACGCAGACGCGTGTCCCTTGCGTCGCTTTTCACACCTCCTCGCGTCCTTGCGTGTGTCGAGCCATTTTTCGGGGCTTGCGTCGCTTTTGACAGCGCACCAGGCTGCGATTGGTCCGCTAACTGCGTCCTTTACGGAGTCTCACATTTCCGCTCCCATAGCCCGATACCGCCATTATTAAAACGAAGAATGTTTACGGGAGAACGGATCAGATTGAAGAGCTTTTGTCGGGAAGAAATGCGTAAATATGACCGCTTCTACACGCCGTCATTGGCGGGTTGGATTCACGGAGGGAGATCGCCGCAGACGCCGGTTTGCCGGTTCGAGAGGCGCACAAAGTTGTGGAGGAAAATACGGGACAAATGTGTCCGCGATGAAAAGCAGCAGTGGCGACGCACGGGGCAATGAAGTCTATGATAAATAAATAAATAAATAAACAAATAAATAAGACGTGACTCTCTAGGTCGTCTTCAACAAAAACACGTTACTCCGCCTGTTGCTCTGGCGGTGAATCGCTCTGCAACACACGCAAGACTTAAGAGCCATGAATTGAAACGAGTGCGTCGACGCAGACGCAAAAGCACGCGTCGGCTTTTAGTTTAGCTGTGAAATACCGCGGTTTGCTCGCGTATTCTTAAAAACACACATCCCGGTTTTAGGACACCCGCTCACACACATGAGGGAGGGAGGGAGGGAGGGAGAGGACACTGGCTGTCGGTGGCATTTACCTGTGACCACACTAGTGTTCGCCATCGTCAAACAAATCACGGACCACAACTGGACAAGCCCCACATTTGTCGCGACCAGGCCCTTTGGGGCCATGACAGGATTGGAGTTGCACTGTTTCAAGAGACAATGTTCTTTATTTAACATAATAAATAAAGATCGAAACGAAAAATCAACAAACATTACACATGGGATGTGAAGTATATATATATAATATAAGTATATATATCAGTATATATATATATATATATATATAATGTGTATATATAAAACCACACAAAGTGGGATTTGTTGTATTTTCTATTCCGTTGTCTTGGAGTCCACTCTATGACACACAATGGAATGGAATGGAATGGAACGGAATGGAATGGAATGAAATGGAATGGAATGAAATGAAATGGAATGGAATCTTCAAGGCCAAGTTCCAGGACAAAGTAGATTCATCTGTTCATTGCGAGTCTGGCCACAGGACAGAGCACTGCATATTGTTTTGTGAGAGAATTAATCAGCGACGTTTGTCCTTAACGAGACTTAATCAAGTAGCCTTTCGATGGATATATCACCATTCTTCAAAGACCACATGGAGTCGTTATCCGGCAAGCAAACAAACAGCCTTTTTCAAGGCTTCCAGCCTATTTTGGCGCTTCACGTCTCGGGACTCCTCCCAACGGATACAAGGTGAACATGGCACTTTCTCGTGCCCGGGATGAAGTGCACTACCTGAAAAGGAAGGTGAGCGAACTCACTGCTCACACTGAAACTGGGAGGTACAGTTTGACCAACCTGTTAAAAGGCAAAGATCTTGCCTATGAGCAAACAAGAACAGAAATAAGTTTTCAGACCTCATCAGGGAGAACAAGGGTTTTCTCTGAAGCTCCACAGAGACCACCGAACAACTCGTTGTCAAAAATGCTGAACCCACGGTCCAGGAGCAGGCCAACAACCAACGGTTGAAAGCAGAACACAAACTGCTGAAGAGCAAGACAGAGGCTCTGGCTGAGGTTATCGGGGAAAACTAGAGTTTGCTTCTGAAGCTCTTTGAGTACGGCCGACAACTCTTCGTCAAAAGTGCTGAACTCACGGTCAACAAAGAGACCTGGCAGCAGAAGTTGGAGGAAAACAGATTCAAGGAACTGGATTACCAACAACAGTCCTTGGAGTAAGTAACAGGGTTACTCTCCACCAACATTTCTCTTCAAGAGGAGCTGCACAAGGAGCAGGCCAACAACCACCAGTTGGTAGAAGAACACAAACTGCTAAAGATCAAGACAGAGGCTCTGGATGAGACTATCAGGGAGAACGAGGGTTTATCTCTGAAGCTCACCGAGACCAAAAAAAAACTTCT